CCCCCCCCCCCCCCCCAAGTTTAGACGCTGGCTTAAATTGCTGGCTACGCCACTGCCCACACGTTTGAGATATCATAAGATTCCATACTGTGCATCTACATTTCTGTTTTAAATTTTTTATGTTACAACACTTATATATACCGTAAAAAGCAGAGTGGTAAAAAGTTAACCTATTTATATAAATCTACAAACTATATAGTTTATCATTATAGTTCAGATATATACAGACTATACTGTGGCTATACAAGATTGAGGGCTGTCGGTGTTTGGGGGGAGGAGGGTTATTCGCCGGGTTCACCAAACCATCGCCGGATTGTATTCTGTGCGATAGCCACAACCAGGAAATCCTTGCTGTGCCTGTTGTGGAGGGTAATATGCCTGTTCTTGAGGATCATAACCACGTTGCTCTGGTGTATATCCTGATGCTGTATTCATCATTCCAATATTTGACAAATTGGCAACAACAGCCGCGGGAGGATCGGTGTTGTGTCGTTGAATCACAATTTCATCATTGTCAGGATTGCGCTTTCGTCGACAGCGCCTTCCTCGCCAGCAAATAACAGCAACCACAAATATATATGAGTTTTAAAACGGCAGCAACGCTTATGGGGACGACTTTTGCCGAGCACATGCCTGAATTGTCGCTTGAGCATTCTACTGACTTCGAGTGGAAAGCCACAACAAATACGAAATAGAAACGCCAAGAAATCATCTTTAAAGCCGCTCCAAATGCGCCTTCTTTATGTATAAAGTTTTCAAGAACTTTTTAGGCAAGATTCTCTCAAGTTTAAGCGAAAAAATCAAAAGTATAATTGTAAATATTTGCAATTTTTAAGAGCAGCTAAGCACGCACTGTGTCTGTGTAAAATGCGAGCGTGTATATACTCGATGCGTTTCGTGCAATTTACGGACTAAAAAAAGTCAAATGCTTTGTGATTCAAATTAGTTGAAAGCGAACAGGTATCAAATTCTATAATTTGAAACGTTACAAATATAATATAGAATTTTATATGATTCTAGAATGATCTAATTCAATTATTTTACTTACCACTTAAAGGCTAATTTCCACTCCGGAAAATAAGCAGCGGATCGGAACAAAACAAAAATCCGCGCATGCGCCATCAGTAGAAACGTTTGGTTTCGATTGATCCGGCGACGTTGCTGGCCGGATAAATAAAAAGTTGAAATATTTTCAACTTTTTTTTGGTTCGGTCCCGCGGATTAAACCTGGTGACCAATCTAATAAATGCCGTATTATGTCACATAAATTAAAATAATTAAATAACACCACAGATAATACCTCATGTATAAATTTATACAAAATGGAGGATGTAAGACTGGAACGAGCTCCATTTTTTTCCTTTGCCGATCCGATCATTCCACTTGTCCTTTTACTGTAAATCGCTTGCTGGATCGGATCGGATAACTCCTCTGATCCGCTGCTTATTTTCCGCGTTTAGCCCATAGATATCTTATATACATTAGATAGTGCATCTAATTATTCTGCAATTCAAAAAATTGAAGCCGTGATTGCAGACTCGGGATATTCCCATGAAATGAGAAGACTCGTATGTTTTCTATTTCTTAAACAGGGAACTTAAACATTAAGTTAAACCTATTCCAAATACATTTTCAAACTATTCAAATGATGAAAGTTATTGCTGTTTTTTTAAGCGTTTATTAGCGAGTGGGAAACTCCAACATGGCCACCGTCTATTCAAATGGGGGTAACCGCTGGAATATTCTTGGCTTCAATTTTACTAAAAGAGATACGCTATCGTATCTAGTTTATATAAGATATCTATGCTTTAGCCTGGTTTCCATATGGTCGATCTTTCCCAACGGCCAGTTTATAATAGTTTACACCTCATGTAAACTACATATAAATCATAAGTATTCTCTAGGCTTCAGCACGTACCTCTTTTGATATCAAAGAAACAAAGATTTTTTGTTCTTATAAAGGAAAAGGAAGTTCAAGTTCCTAATTGTAGGAGTGTTTTGGATGTGGAAATTCGAGTGCATTTATAATGGCCTTCGGCTACGACTTAAATTTGCCTTGCTGTTTACCTATGTAATAACACTAGTCAGCAATATACATACTACAAATCATATCAAACCAAGGCTAAAATACAGCACGATTTTACTATATTAATACACTAAAATACCTTAAAATTATTTTTAAGTTTTAACTCAATGTGACGTTCGAAAAAAACTGAAGGCCTTTGCACTACAAACGATCGCATATAACGTCAAGATCGCATATATAATATCACGGTTGAGGGTTGCATTATATTTATAGAAATATAATTGTAATTCAGACACAAACAATATCAGCTTATTGTAGAATACCACCTATATGTGAACCCCCTTAACAGTTTTCTAAAAGGACTAAAATTCTTTACACTACAAACGATCGCATATATAACATCCAGGTCCCATAATATCAAGAGTTGAGGGTTGTATTATATTTATATGTATAGTATATAGTAATTTAGACACAAACAACATCAGCTTATTGTAGAATACAACCTACACTGGACCACCACACGTTTGAGATATCATAAAATTCCATACTGCAAATCAACAATACTGTTTTAAATTGTTTATGTTATAAACACTTCATACCGTAAAAATTTCAGAAACCTTTCGGATTGATAAGAAAGCAACTATAAGGCGACAAATTCAAGGAGAGCTTCGTGCGAAGGGCAGAAGTCATTAGCGTACGAAGGGCATTCGCTCGAAACTTCAGGATGTTGCTTCTTTATCAATTTGAAGTTTTCTAATATTATTGCCTATTGGCACTACCTATACACTAGCACAAACCGTTCTTAAAAAGTTAAACACTTTCTATAAATCTACAAACTACAATTCAGAATTAGTTCAGATACAAACTATACTGTAGCAGTTCAAGACTGAGGGCTATCGGTGTAAGGCGGAGGAGGATTATTAGCCGGGTTCACGAAAACATCGCCTGTATTTGGGATTTTATTCGGTGGATAACCATAACCAGGGGATCCTTGCTGTACTTGTTGTGGCGGGTTATATGCGTGCTGTTGAGGGTTATAACCTTGCTGCTGGGGTGCATACCCTGACACTGGATTTATCATCTGAGATTGAGTACTTGACGAGTTGACGACAACTGCCGTGCGAGGAGCGGTGTCGAATCGTTGAAACACGATGCCACGATAGCGTCTTCGTCGACAATAACAAACAGCAATCCAAAATACGACTTTAAAAACGACGGCAAAGATTATGATGACGACCAAGACTGCCGAGCTCACTCCTGAATTGTCTCGTGGGCAGTCAGAACGACAAATGCTGTCATCACAACACGTCTCAAAGGCTGAACAACCGTCATCGTCGTAGCAAGAGAGTACTGCTTTCGAGTAAAAGATCACAGCAAATACGAAATAAAAACGCCAAGAAATCATCTTTCAAGCCGCTGTAAATCTACCTTCTTGTTGTATGAGCGTTCAAATGAAGTATTAAGCGAACTTCACACGGTTCCAAGCGAAGTTTAAGTAAGATCTCTCACGTTTAAGCGAGAAATTAAACACAAATTTCAAACACTTGCAATTTTAAGAGCGGCCTACGCAGTATGTAAACTCGAGCGTGTAATTTTTATCGATAATATGACGTCAAGAGCAAGCTCATTTGCATTTCAACATCCCGTCTTTTCGCCATATTTGATGAAAGTTTTGTTTGTTTTAAATATTGGCCACGGTGCAAGCAGATATATCGAGAAATTCTTTTAGATAACACGCCCTTCTGGAAAGCACGATATCTTGGCTCGCTCTATCGTTTATAATTATGTGACACTAGTCTATAATATCTCAATTATGAAAGGGAGACTTTATAGCCAAGATATGACGTACTTTTCGCAAAGGTGTCATCAGTCTTACAGGTTATAACAGGTAAATAACAGATTTTTTAAGCAATTTACTACCAATTTACTACGGTTGAGAAATAAAACCGTCTGATGTTAAGGATGGTTTACACTATCAAAATTTCTGTGATCACAGTAGGAATTTTGCATAGATAGATTCTAAGTTTTGACATAGGTAGCCCAGACACACTGTGCGATTTAAATTTAAATGCTTGGCATACTTAATTACCTCCTGCGGTTTCGACCTCAAAATAATAATGTTAACGATTAGCTCAAAAATATTCTGAATTTTTACACTAAAATGTATCACTAATCAATACTTATCGTTGAAGGAAATATACTTAGGTACATAGCATGCATCAGCAAAAATAAATAGTTTATACCTTTAGTAGAAGCACTTGAAATACAGTTTTAAAATCATTACATGGATTTCAAGTGCTTCTACTAAAGGTATATAAACTATTTATTTTTGCTGATGCATGCTATCATAGTTAATAGAGGGGATGGTTTGGAAACTTATTAGCATTACAATAAACCTCGCTATCTATGTTTTTGTTCAGGTTTATGCAAAAATGTGGTCTTTCATCGTCACGTGCGTATTGTATTTTTGCTCAACCAGCCAATAGCAACGGTTTTGTCCAATTGCCCATCCATGACTTTAACAATAGGACATTTTGAACATTCCTATTGGTTGACTTGAGAAAAATACAATACGCACGTGACGATGAAAGACCACATTTTCGCATAAACCTGAACAACATAGATAATGAGGTTTATTGTGATTTTATTTTAATGCTAACGAGTTTCCAAACCATCTCCTCTATTAACTATGATGCTATGTACCTAAGTATATTTCCTTCAAAGATAAGTATTGATTAGTGATACATTTTAGTGTAAAAATTCAGAATATTTTTGAGCTAATCGTTAACATTATTATTTTGAGGTCGAAACCGCAGGAGGTAATTAAGTATGCCAAGCATTTAAATGCACAGTGTGTCTGGGCTACCTATGGTTTTGAAGGATTTGTAAGAAATGTTTGAGGGAAACAGACTCGGTGTTAAACACGAAGTCGGTTCCTTCAAACATTTCTTACAAATGCTTCAAAACATAGAATTTACCTATATGCAAAATTTCTACTGTGATCAAATAAATTTTGATGGTGTAAAACAGCCCTTAGGCAGAGTAAAATAATACAGTCAACATTGTTCATATATATAATTTATACGGATGGTCAAGAGTTTGTATTTGAAAATCACCCTTTGTCTAACGTCGTAAACACGACAAAACAATCAGTAATGGAAAGATGACAAAACAATGAAAAGACAATGGAACATTCTGATCACTGGATTATGACTGGATGACATGGAGAATATGGGATTTTCAAAACAATGAAAAGACAATGAACATTCTGATCAATGGATTACGACTGGATGACATGGAGAACAGTGGGATTTTCAAAACAATGAAAAGACAATGGAACATTTTGATCACTGGATCATGACTGGATGACATGGAAAACAGTGGGATTTTCAAAAGAATGAAAAGACAATGGAACATTCTGAGCACTGGATCATGACTGGATGGCATGGAGAACAGTGGGATTTTCAAAACAATGAAAAGACAATGGAACATTCTGATCAATGGATCATGACTGGATGGCATGAGGAGATACTGGAATTTCAAAGGAAAAACATGGTGATATGATAGAAAATCGTGAACAGTAGATTATCAAGAATTTTGTCGCTGTTTCGGCTTTGGCTAAACAAGCAAAAATATCCACAAATGATACGCAAATACAGCAGAAATAAATAAAATAGAAACTGACCTAATGACGAGCTCTGATTCATATCTGATTAAAGTGTTCTTTCGATTGACCAGGTCGAACCATTCCGAGACCAGTTTGTGTTCTTCGTTCGGGTTACCTTAATAGAAAAAATATGATGATGGTGATCATGGTGATCATGGTGGAAGTGGTGATGATGATGATGGTGGAAGTGGTGATGATGATGATGGTCATGATGGTGATGATGATGGTGGAAGTGGTGATGATGATGATGGTGGAAGTGGTGATGATGGCCATGATGGTCATGATGGTGGTCATGGTGGAAGTGGTGATGATGATGATGGTCATGATGGTGATGATGATGATGGTGGAAGTGGTGATGATGATGATGGTGGAAGTGGTGATGATGGTCATGATGGTCATGATGGTCATGATGGTGGTCATGGTGGAAGTGGTGATGATGATGATGGTCATGATGGTGATGGTGATGATGATGATGGTGGTCATGGTGGAAGTGGTGATGATGATGGTCATGATGGTGATGATGATGATGGTGGAAGTGGTGATGATAATGGTGGAAGTGGTGATGATGGTCATGATGGTCATGATGGTGGTCATGGTGGAAGTGGTGATGATGATGATGGTCATGATGGTGATGATGGTGGTGATGATGGTGGTCATGGTGGAAGTGGTGATGGTCATGATGGTCATGATGGTGATGATGGTGGTCATGGTGGAAGTGGTGATGGTGATGGTCATGATGGTGATGATGGTGGTCATGGTGGAAGTGGTGATGATGATGGTGATGATGGTGGTCATGGTGGAAGTGGTGATGGTCATGATGGTGATGATGGTGGTCATGGTGGAAGTGGTGATGATGATGGTCATGATGATGATGATAGTGGTCATGGTGATAGTGATAATGGTGATTGTGGTGATGATAATGGATAATGGTGGTGATGATGGTCATGGCAATACGATAGTGGTCATGCTGGAAGTCGTAGTAATGATCGTGATTATGATGGTGGTGGTAGTGATGATGGTGGTGATGATGGTCATGGTGGTGGTAATGATGGTCATGGTGGTGGTAATGATGGTCTTGGTGGTGGTGATGGTCATGGTGGTGGTAATGATGGTCATGGTGGTGGTAATGATGGTCTTGGTGGTGATGATGGTCATGATGGTGGTGATGATTGTCATGGTGGTGGTGATGATGGTCATGGTGGTGGTAATGATGGTCATGGTGGTGGTGATGATGGTCATGGTGGTGGTAATGATGGTCATGGTGGTGATGGTGAAGAAAGTAAGAACTTTCTTTCACAGTAAGAACTTTCTTTCACGAGAGAAACTTATTAACCATAGTAGCTAACAAACGGCCCTCACAATGTTACAACTTACAATATTCACATAAATAATAGTAAATGAATACAATCACAATTTAGTAAATATTTTCAATTTTTACAAAACAGGTCTTCGAGATGGTTAGTAAGGTTAAGCTTAGTAAGAAAGATTTTACGAAGTTTGTGTTTGGTATTAGTTATTCATCGAGATTAAAGCAACTGAAGAGGATGAAGATGAAATGGCAAGTTGTTTGCATTCACTGTCTAGGGCATTAAAAAGAATGGAAGCACTATAAAGAAATGTTCTTTTGCCGAAGTCAGTACATTTAAACGAGGATGATGGAGGTGATGATGGGTCATGGTTGTAGTCATGGTGGTAGTGATGGAGGTGATGATGGGTCATGGTTGTAGTTATGGTGGTAGTGATGGTGGTGATGAGGTGGTCATGGTTGTAGTCATGGTGGTAGTGATGGTTGATGATGGTGGACATGATCACGGTGGTAGTGATGGTGGTGATGAGGTGATCATGATGATGGTGATGATGGTGGACATAATCATGGTGGTAGTGATGGTGGTGATAAGGTGATCATGATGATGGTGATGATGGTGGACATGATCATGGTGGTAGTAATTGTGGTGATGAGGTGGTCATGGTGGTAGTAATGGTGATCATGATGATGATGGTAATGGTGGTAGTGATGGTGGTAGTGATGGTGGTAGTAATGGTGATCATGATGATGATGGTAATGGTGGTAGTGATGGTGGTAGTGATGGTGGTAGTAATGGTGATCATGATGATGATGGTAATGATGATGGTGGTAGTGATGGTGGTCACTGTAGTAGTGATTGTGATGATGATGTGGTTCATGGTGCCTGATGGTGGTAGTGATGGTGATCATGATGGTGGTGGTGATGATGGAAATGATGATGGTGCTGGTATCATGGTGGTAGTGATGATGATAGTGATTATGGTAATGATGATGGTAGTGATAAGGTAGGTGGTCATGCTGGTAGTAGTGATGGTGATGATAATAATGGTGAAATTATTCACTTACCAGATCCCACCTGTGCCATCTTCTTCTCCACTATAATCCCAAGTTTCTCCAACTCCATCTGTCTCACTTCACACTCTCCCAGTTCTCTCTGTATGGACTGAGCTATTCTCAATCTCTTGCGCTGTCGTTCTCTCATTTCCAACTTAATGTAATACTCCTGGTTCTTCTTCTGTCGCATCGCATCTCTCTCCTTCTCTGCAAGCTGAAACAGAATGATAGACTGTTAGTACAAGAGCAAACCCACACTGAAGGTTTAGAGGTTTAGACTCTAGTGAGGATCAAGGTTAGCGGAGTACTCAGAGATGAAAATAACGAAGGAGAGATAACTGAAATGTTTCGGGTTTCCTATAACGAAAATCATAATCTCAGGAGAACCAACTTGGTGCTGAAATTATCAGAACCAAAAACTAGTTCAATAAAACGATCGTTTAGTTCTGCTGCTGCCAAAATCTGGAACTCTCAAAGTAATAAGTATAAAAATAATGACACAATGCGTTACTGTGTAGGCAGTGTACCATGTCAACTTTTGTTATTTGATATACAGTTATATTTAGTTACAGAAATTTTGAGTAGTTACACGGCCCTTTGAAAAGCAGTTCTGTATTTACTAACTATTGACACAGTGGGGGTTAAAAGCCTGAGTCAATATGCTTTTGCCTTTTATTGATATACAATATATTTCCACACAACACAGCACTATATGTGCATCAAATTAGGACTTACATCGACGTTGGAATTGATTATATTATATTAGCCAAGTGAACTTTTTTTATATATTGCGTGACCTCCTTTAACTCTTGAAAACAGCTTTAACTCTTTCTTGTATAGATTCAACAAGTTTTCTAAGTACTTCTGGTTTAAGGTTATTTCAGCATTGATTAAAGACATCCCATAGGTTGTCTTTATTTGTGGGATTATGTTTCACTTTCTCTCTTTTCAAATGATCCCATAAATTTTCAATAGGATTTAGGTCCGGAGATTAAGGAAGAAAATCCTTAAACAACCACAAAATCCACAAAGTGATACAAATACAGTTTTTAATCCAGTTAATCCATATTACATATTACAAAGAAATTAGGGAGAGCAGATCTCTTTCTTAGCTTCCTTTCAAAATAAAATCGCTGCTCGCATAAATGAATAGAAAGTAAATTGAGTACCTGTAAATAGTCTAACAACGTTATTATTATGTAAATAATTTAAATATTCCATCCTTTAAAACATAAGTATTTTCGTAAATGAGCTTCGGTTGACGGGGTCAGCGTGTACATATTAAGCTTTCTAGCTAACCAGGGCCAGGGCGCTATAAAACACATGCTGCTCTCCCAAGAGATCCAATAAGAATAATCCCTCCATTTTCCCAGATGTGAAAAGTACCCCAAGCACGTTTGATTGTCTTTCTCCAGTATTCTATATACAGCCATGTTTGCCGCATATGTCTTCCTTATAAAGTACATGCAAATATAGGCTTCGAAAAATAGCACAATTCTTTTTCGCCATGGTCAGCAATGACAATCATGGTGAATTTACATTTTCTGTAATCACTGTACTATACCTCACTGTACTAAGTTAAACATGTTTTCGCTCAGAAATTTTTTACCTAGTTTAAATGCCATGCATTGTGATTCAACCACGCAATAGATATGCATGTATACAAACATGACATATAGGTCATATAGCCATATAGCGCCCTGCCAGGGCGTAGTAAAACACGTGTTTTACTACGCCCTGAGCTAACTAATCTGACGTCCCTGTTGACAAAAAGTCACTTGCCACAACCACAAATACACTCTTTTTTGGTATGTGTAATATTTGGGTCATTCGAAGAACAAATGTAATATATCTTTACAATAAAAAATCCCATCTTAATCAACTTTTTCACTGCCAAAGTTTGCGGATATGATGTCATTAGATGAATTGCAAATTAGTTTCCATTTGTTTTTCGTACCGAAAATTCACCTAATAACATCATATCCGGAAACTTTGACAGTGAAAAGGTTCATCAAGATGAGGTTTTTTACTATAAAGATATATTACATTTCTTCTCAGAATGACCCAAGTATAGCCTCCTCCGCAGGTATCGCCTTTAGATTGGCGGGCAAAATAAGCCTGCAGGCAAAAACATTGAAAGTAAGTGAACCACGAGATGTCTGCGGAGGAGGCTAACCAAAGTATTATATGATACATACCAAAAATTATATTTGGGGTTAGTCACATTTTAAGCTCCCTAAAGTCAGCGCAAGAACAAGAGTGAGCAACTACATGCATACACACCTGGAATCGTTTTTCTCGAGCTCTCGCAAGACGAATAGCTTCAGGAAGGTCTTCCTCCTCGCTTGAATCGTAATAACTGTCAGGTGAACCCACATCAGACTGCTCTGGCGATAACGGTTCATCTAAATAATTTCAAATACATTTCACACTTCGTTCAGTGTTTTATTTCAAGAATAGACCTAAAATGTTCTCCCTAAGGAGAAAACCTAAACTAGACTAACTTTATTTATACTGGATAGCTCTATCAGTTCTAAACTGTTCTTCCTAGAGGTCAAGTAAAAGTCATCTCTTATTGATCCAGTGTTACTAAAGGAGGAAACCTAAACTAAACTAACTTTATTTATACTGGATAGCTCTATCAGTTCTAAACTGTTCTTCCTAGAGGTCAAGTAAAAGTCATCTCTTATTGATCCAGTGTTACTACAGGAGGAACCTAAACTAATCTAACTTTATTTATACTGGATAGCTCTATCAGTTCTAAACTGTTCTCCATATAAAGGTCCAGTAAGGATCATCTACTGGATAGCTCTATCAGTTCTAAACTGTTCTCCCAATAAAGGTACAGTAAGGATCATCTCTTATTGATCCAGTGTTACTACGGGAGGAAACCTAAACTAAACTAACTTTATTTATACTGGATAGCTCTATCAGTTAAAATTAAACTACATATCTCAATTCTATCTATTCGGCCTCAAATACAATACAACTAGATAGAATGAACTAACTTCATTTATACCGGATAGCTCTATAAGTTCTAAACTGTTCTCCCTAGAAAGGTCCAGTAAGGATCATCTCTTATTGATCCAGTGTTACTACAGGAGGAAACCTAAACTAATCTAACTTTATTTATACTGGATGGCTCCATCAGTTCTAAACTGTTCTCCCTATAAAGGTCCAGTAAGGATCATCTCTTATTGATCCAGTGTTACTACAGGAGGAAACCTAAACTAATCTAACTTTATTTATACTGGATAGCTCTATCAGTTCTAAACTGTTCTTCCTAGAGGTCCAGTAAGGATCACATCTTATTGATCCAGTGTTACTACAGGAGGAAACCTAAACTAAACAACTTTATTTATACTGGATAGCTCTATCAGTTAAAATTAAACTACATATCTCAATTCTATCTATTCGACCTCAAATACAATACAACTAGATAGAATGAAAAGAATCAACTTCATTTTCTCACTCTGATAACTACATGTTGACCAGCATCTACGGCATGATCGTGTAGTGAGAGACACATCTCCACTCACCAGTTTCACTCAGCACAGCATCGGGTGAATCGACATCTTTCTGATCACCTTCTTGGCCTTTCTTTCCCTTCTTCCGTCGTCTTTTCTCTTTCTTTTCCTTCTTATGTTCCTCTTTCAACCGTTTCTTCTCATCCTTGCCCTTCTTGTCTTTCTTGTGATGTCCGCCGAATATGTTGGGCCATCTATGTTTCTTGGGGGAGGTTGGGGACATCTCGCGGTCTTCATGAAGGGTAGGTAGGGGTACTTGTAGCTCTTGAGGGGAAGGTTCGGGTGGGACCTCGATTGGTCCAAGTGGCTCGGGTTGCGATGTTGGCCTGGTGTCTAGATAAAGGAAATATTATTTGAGCCTCAAGTACAGGAGGAAACCTAAACTAAACTAACTTTATTTCTACTGGATAGCTCTATCAGTTTTTCTAAACTGTTTTTCCTAGAGGTCCAGTAAGGATCATCTCTTATTGATCCAGTGTTACTACAGGAGGAAACCTAAACTAAACTAAACTAAATTAACTTTATTAATACTGGATAACTCTATCTATTCTAAACAGTTCTTCCTAGAAGTCCAGGGAGGATCATCACTTATTGATGCAGTGTTACTGCAGGAGAAAACTTAACCAAATTAACTTTATTTATACTGCATAGCTCTATCAGTTCTGAACTGTTCTCAATGATCCTTACTGGACCTCCAGGAAGAACAGTTTAGGACTGATAGAGTTATCCGATTTCAATAAAGTTAGTTTAGTTTAGGTTTCCTCCTGTATTAACACTGGATCAATAAGAGATTATCCTTAGTATCCTTACTGGAACTTTAGGTATGAAAGGTTTAGAACTGATAGAGCTATCCAGTATAACGTTAGTTTAGTTTAGGTTTCCTCCTGTAATAACACTGGATCAATAAGAGATTATCCTTAGTATCCTTACTGGAACTTTAGGTATGAAAGGTTTAGAACTGATAGAGCTATCCAGTATAAATAAAGTTAGTTTAGTTTAGGTTTCCTCCTGTAGTAACACTGGATCAATAAGAGATTATCCTTAGTATCCTTACTGGAACTTTAGGTATGAAAGGTTTAGAACTGACAGAGCTATCCAGTATAAATATAGCATATAGTATAGCATAGTTTTGAATTATTGACAAAAGTGTTCTCCATACCTTCATCAACGGAGTCGTCAGTCGTCATAGCGGCTCTATAATACTCCGACCAATGTTTCTTTGGGTCCGCATCTCGTCTTTTTCCTGCAGACGACGATTGACGACCAACACGTTTCGGAGTTGCTTCGCCGAGACACGCTCGCAAGTCATTCGTCACGTTGCCATGGTCACCAGCAGGGCTGACGTTATCATCCAGCGAAATATCGACTGCTTTTGTAATCAAGAATGAATCGGAAAAGGCCATTGATTCAGGGTACATTGCCCGCTTTGAATTTCTGCGACGTTTTCCTGGAAAAATATACATAAAAAGCCTTGGTTAGAATGAAAGTGAATGAGAGTATTGTCAACAATCTATCCTGTCAATGAGAGCGAAGGCGTTTGGTCGAGATTTTCATGTAGTAAGCTGTTAACTTGCTAACCGTCCACCTTAGCTGGAACCCTTCAAGTGTCAATCTTTTCAGATACAGTAAAATCCCGCATATAAGAAGCTAGATTTTTCCAAGTTAGCCTATAAACAGGTTCGTATGTATTAAAATGGTGCTTACCAGGAAATTAGGCTAAAAAGGTTCTTAAATAGTTTCTTATTTTCCTAAGGAAAAGGCGACTCATTTTGGGAGGTGGCAGGGCTTTCAAAATAAGCCGGCCGCCGCCGGAGCTCCGGCAGGTGCCACAAGGTTCACCGCCGGTTACTTTGTTTTGTACTTGAAATATCAATTCTGCTCTCCTTCCTCCACTCTAAGCTTTCAAGTTATTTTTCATCAACCTGGTCCACTTTATAGCCTGGTTGTTTTCGAAAACGACGTACTTTTTCTTAAAACCGATTATTTATTTGCTTAAATCTTGAAGTCATCAGTTGTTGAAGAATGAAACTAGTGATACATTATACTTTGGTTACAGAGCTCAGTTGTGTTGCTATCTAAGCAATATACACGCACTAGTTAATTTGGATGACTTTTAAGACTCTCTAGATTGTCTCACTAAGACGAAGATCGACGAGTTGAGCTCATTTTCAGATAAGATAACTGATCTTAATTGACTCGTGAGAATTGTCTATGTTTCGTTTTCCATGTAATTCTAAACGGTGGAAGAATGTGATTTCGACCGGCAATTTTTATTTGACGAGTATGTGGCCATTTCTCATCGTTACAATTTAAAAAGAGTATCATTGAAAAGCTAAATAACTGTCCTTTCGTCTTATGTAAAAATTGAATTGTTAGCCACGTTTATGATGCACGACAGCCTGTTGAATTTCCATAGCGTTTTTCAGACACCATGTAGACCGCCCCCTCCCAACAGCCGCCTACTTTATCGAAACAGACACCTACTCTGAAAGCCCTGGAGGTGGGGTAAATAATTTATATAAATTATGCGCAAATTATCTAACAAATGACAGTATATGTGCAGGCCCAAGAGAACTGATAGTGGGCCTGCAAGCAAGGCCCGGTATTTTGTACTTTCCGCGTTCGCCCACGAACGCGGCATTCTGATTGGCTGTTTGCGGTTGGATTCTATAATTAGGTCAGTAATTCATCACAAAGGCTCTCGATAAACTCTCGATAAGCTTAAAATTCGAAAATTGATCACTTTTTTCGATTACAGATGGAACAAGAACAGACTGTTTATTGTTTACTTGAAGGAAGAGATGTTTTTGCCGTTATGCCAATGGGGATTGCTTGTCGTGAGGTGTTGGAATAGCAACATTACGACTGGAGTAAACTATAGTAACCTTTACACTTGAGTTTCATTAATTTCAAACAGACTTGATACGTTATATGTTCCTCAAGAAAATGATCTTTTGGTAGGTGTTGAGATGCAGTTGCATGTAAGCCTTTCGAAACACTTTGCGATTTACAAGGCTTCGCTGAGAGAGCGAAACAGATGACGGTATTAAATTGCCGTTTGAAACGAAACGATCTCGACTCTGAACGCTCTCTTCTTTTGTAGAGTTCTTTACCAAATGAAATAACTGAAATAAATTTCGTACTTTCCGCCGCCAACAAGAATTGCACACACGATCTGATAAGTGAGACAATTTATTTATAACAATGGCGACAGCGAAGCACACATTATAAATGCTAATGTGGTCGCACGACTTCCCTCACGATTTGAAGTTTGAGACTGGTTTTCTGTTGAAATTCGTCCTAATTTGCCTGTTCCGATTTTAGTTGAAAATGAGCACTTACAAATTTGGCAATTACTGACTGCGTTGCTTGCTTTTTTGGAGTTAAAACGCAGCGATTTACACATTGTTTATGTTCTGAATAAGCAGAGAAAACCCCGCAACATTTTAATGCGAGTTTGTTTGTTAATATTTGGGTGCTGTCATTGGTTCTTTTTTGACAATTGACGCGCGAATAGGGCGTGTTATGAAAAGGGGCGTTTTACAAAATACCGGGCCTTGCTTGCAGGCGCACTATCAATTCCCTTGGGCCTGCACGCGGGCTAAGATTTCCCTTGATTTACATAAACTTTAACTTTGATTTTCTTTTGAAAACTACTTCGCCAATGAACTTACTAGATCGATCGTTTTTGAAGCAATTTTAAACATTCGCAGTGCGCGTGTTTTATCAGCCCTAAAGATACTCGGCTTCGCCTCGTATTATATATTTGATAAAACACTGCTGCTCACTGCTGCCATCTACAAATCCCTATGTTGGAAATGCCATAATTTCATACCTTTTCCGCTCTCCTCGACAGCAGGAACGTTATCAGCCACTTCATGAGCCCGCGGTGGTTTCGGAGGTGGTTCAGGCGGGCTAACAATCTCGGCACCAGTCCCTTTCTTTGCTTCTTTCTTCTCATCGGGTTTCCGCTTGTGAAGAAACAGTCTCCTCGTGCCTTTATCTGACTTGCGGGCTGCGCTGATACTGGAACGACGTACAGGTCTGGCCTCGAGTTTCGAATACTTGTGATTAACCGCCTTACGATTCGCACTCCCTCGAGTCATGGGCGATACCCGCTGCTTTCCGGCCTTTTCAGACCCTTTTTCAACCTACAACCATAAACAAGCCCTGTTAACATTAAGTTCGCGCTACGCCGGAACGGTTTGAAAACGGCGCAGAAAAGTCATAATGGTTGATTGCAGCTATAGACTAAATTTTGATCTAGGCAAGAAGAACAAAATCCATCACCACAGCAAGAAAAAGCATGTTAAAATTAGTAAAACTGCAAAGTTTCGTTGCGAAATGTTGTAAAATGAGGAAAATATGGCCCTACGAAATTTGCAAATTTTGTATTAATTTGTATTACGCACGGGAATTTGTATTATGCACGGGAATTCCCTTGTGTAATACAAATTAATACAAAATTTGCGAACTTCACAGTGCTATATTTTCCTCATTTTACAACATTTCGCGGCCAAACTTTGCCGAATCTTACTAATTTTAACATGCTCTTTCTAGCTGTGGTGATGGATTTTGTTCTTCTTGCCGAGATCAAAATTTAGTCTAGAGCTGAAATCATCCAACTACGCCGGAGCGAAATTGTTTAAAGACGTCACTTCTGCCGTACCAATTTGAGCAACGAAGCGAGATGAAAATGGAGCGCTTGACGGCTTCGTGTCAACACAAACGCCGTCACTTTTTTCAAATCCGACTATGAAGACTGGACTAGATTTCAAGTCGAGGACTGGATCAAAATGCAACATTGAACTATAAATAAACTGGAAGGCTAACTCAGGGGGAGGGGGAGGGGGGGGGAATTGAAGCCAGTGCATTTTAGTTTTTCTGAGTTATGAGCAGAAATACTCAACACTGAACGTTGGGCTATATATCAAATTGAAGCTATTGAAAAACGCTATTTGGTGTAGAAATTTCAAGACTTCAGCTATAAAAGGGAAATATTGAAAAAAATACAAAAATAATTGCCGATAATTTGCCGTTTTGCAGTTGTTTTTGTATTTTTTAAATATTTTTCTTTTCGCTGAAGTCTTGAAATTTCCACACCGAATAGCAATTTTCAATAGCTTCAATTTGATATATAGGCCGACGTTTGGGGTCAAGTATTTCTGCTCATAACTCAGAAAAACTATTTTGGCTTCATGAAATCATAGGCCTTCATCATAGCAGTTAGCCTTCCAGTTTATTTATAGTTCAATGAAATGCGAGGACTTGAAATCTAGTCCCAATTGGAGGATTTGAAATGACATCTCATACGAATAAATCACTATACTTAATTAATTTTGAACCAGTCCAAGGACTAAATTAATTTTCATCCAGTCCTAGGACTAGATCAATATACTTCATCATGCAAGTATCCAGTATTATCACGTGAGCAAAATAAAGTAATATGGTTGGCTAATTTACATTGAGATCTATATTGAATCACACTGTAAATTTCAGGGAGTAAAAATTACCCTTTGGAAGGTCAAGAATTACTCTCTTGAAAGGAGTAATTGATTTTGGGGTAGAAATTACTCCACAATGCAGGGTAAACTTAATTTTAATTCTCATTCCCTTTAAATAATCTGGCCATACTTCTACCTCTTCCGATTTTTCTTCCCCAGATATCTCGCTCAGTGAGATGATCTCAAATGGCGACACTGACACATTGTGTTCACTGGATAGAGTACTTGTCCGGGGGGGACTACGGGCGTTTATTTCTTCCCTCAAGTTCTTGGGAACTTTAAGCACCTTCCGGGGGGGTGACTGCACTTCCGTTGTCTCGAAGTCGATCGGTTTTTCAATCTGTTGTTGCATGCTCATATCGATGTTTCCAATAGAGTGAGACCGCCGTGCTTGGTAGACAGAGGGTAACGTGTCATCTGGTGAAAACAAAAACGTAAGTGAAGGTTAAGTCTAAAGACATGAAACCAACTTCATTGACACTGGATAGCTCTATCAGTTCTAAACCTTTCTACCTAAAGTTCCAGTAAGGGACATCTCTTATTGATCCAGTGTTACTACAGGAGGAAACCTAAACTAAACTAACTTCATACTCGATAGCTGAGTAAATCCATTTACCAAGTCAAATCCCAATCCAAGTCAATTCGGAGTCCGAGTCAAACGTCCGAGTGATGTAAAAAAAGACGAAATTGAATAAAATTCACAATCGAATAGAGTTAGGGTTAGGAGTATTGTTAGGGTACTAAGTCATTCGATAGATTTAGATCGAGGACGTGAACGTCAAACCTAAACTAAACTAACTTTATTTATACTGGATAGCTCTATCAGTTCTAAACTGTTCTTCCTTGAGGTCCATTAAGGATCATCTCTTATTGATCCAGTGTTACTACAGGAGGAAACCTAAACTAAACTAACTTTATTTATACTGGATAGCTCTATCAGTTCCAAACTGTTCTTCCTTGAGGTCCATTAAGGATCATCTCTTATTGATCCAGTGTTACTACAGGAGGAACCCTAAACTAAACTAACTTTATTTATACTGGATAGCTCTATCAGTTCCAAACTGTTCTTCCTTGAGGTCCATTAAGGATCATCTCTTATTGATCCAGTGTTACTACAGGAGGAAACCTAAACTAAACTAACTTTATTTATACCGGATAGCTCTATCAGTTCTAAACTGTTCTCCTTAGAGGTCCAGTAAGGATCATCTCTTATTGATGATGTTCTGTGTAGTCGCCGAAAACAGACGTACATTTTTTGTGCTCCGTATATTCGCTTCGTTCTATGTGATCTGAATGTACATAGAATTGAATATAACTTAGTTGTTCACTATATACAATGCCTCCGAAGAAGAAGGCTTTATTTTGAAAACATGATTTAACGGAAGAATCTACTGCCATAGTCGAAAATAGCGGAAAAGATGTAGTCGATATGGCTACGCTTCAGCGAGATTTAGTAGCTTGACAAATATTGAAAATCTACGCCGATACTCGCGAAGAGACACCTTGGAAATTCAGGGAATTCCTGTTGTTAGTGGAGAAAACACTAATACTACTGTCCTAAAAGTTGTCCAACTAGCAAAGCCTGAGAGCAATTTTGATGAGTCTATCGTATATGTGAGTCATCATCTACGTTCTGCACGAGGAAATTTACCACCGGCCATTATTGTAATATTTGTTCGCAGGGACGTACGTGATATGATATATATGAATCGGCGAAACCTTAGCTCTAAATCTACCCGCCACCTTGGCTTATCCGAATCAAATCAAATCTATGTTTATGAGAGTTTAACCGCTCAGACTCGGGCAGTATTTATCGAAGCTAAGAAATTCCGTACTCATGAGCGTCGCTTTAAATTCATTTGGACTAGGAATGGAGAGTTTTCTTAAAACATGATGAAAATCAATCAGCCTATGTTTTTTTATTCTTTACAAGAGTTTGTGGATTTTAAAACCCATTATGAACCTTATTCTTAAAGACTGTCTGCTGATTATGAATTATTTATTTTAATAACTTTCGATTCTATTAATCACGCATTTTAATTTGCTTCTAGTACTCTTGATGATGAAAATTTCCAATTAGTTTTGTATGAGATGTCGCATGGTCGAGTGAATTTTGAATCCGTAAGATTATTTAACTTAAAGTTAAATCCTTTGAATTATAATAGTCAACAGCTATCTGCTATATTCACGGAATGTAGATCCAGACTCTAATTTGACGGGTAACGTTTTGAATTGCGACTTTTATACTGAATGTAGTTTAAATGCTGTGCTGTGTAATAGCCTCAATGCAAATTGCTTATCTCTTATGCATTTGAACACACGCAGTTCAGGTCGCAATTTGAATCGCTTAGAACAATTACTTGCAAATATAAACAATAGGTTTTCTGTCATAGGTATTTCTGGAACTTGGCTTCAGGATTCAACTCACTTTGCCGACATCATTGGATACAGTTTTGTACACAATTATCACCGTTCTGAAAAAAAACGGTGGAGGGGTTGTTTGTACATCGCCTGTGAGTATGAATATAAGATCTATGACCGTGATGACTTATGTTTTGAAGACAAAGATATTGCTGAATTGTTGTTTGTTAATCAGTGTGATGTACAGATATATGTACAGACCGCCCAGTCAAAACGTAGCTGATTTTATTTCTAATTTGAATCTATTAATGGTAAAATATCAAGAGAAAATAAGACTTCTTATATAATGGGTGATTTTAACCTAAACTTGTTGAATCAGCATTTTCATCAATTTACTAATGAATTTCTAGATATTATGTACGCAAATATGCTCTTTCCGCTAATAACTCTGCCGACTAGAATTACATCGCATTCCGCTACTTTGATTGAGAACATATTCACTAACGACCTTGAAAATTATTCTTTCAGTGGTTCAATTCTGGCAGATATATCAGACCACTTACCTATTTTTAGTATGTCGTGCGAGATGGCTGTAGAGGGTGATGAAGCATCATATATTGAATATCGTAACAAAAGTGAAAGAAATGTATCTAATCTTCGTAATTGCCTTTCCCGTATTAATTGGTACGATTTAGGGGCGGACCATTAGAAAAGTGATGGCCGGGGGGGGAAAGCAAAAATAAAAATCGAGCAGGGGAAACAGAAAGAAAACTGGATAGCTCTATCAGTTCTAAACTGTTTTCCTAGAGGTCCAGTAAGGATCATCTCTTATTGATTCAGTGTTACTACAGGAGGAAACCTACACCAAACTAACTTTATTTATACTGGATATCTCTATCAGTTCTAAACTGTTCTCCCTAGAGGTCTATCAGTGCAATCAAAGTATCATAATCCTACCTTTTCTCTCCTTATCTCGTGGAGATTTTCCAGGCGTTTCGTAGAACACTTTACGATAATGTGCTTTACAATAAAACCTCCCTGGTTGTCCATCCTCAGGAGGAACATAACCATAATTGCCAAGTCTGAGTGTCAGTTCACAGTGCTCACATTTGAAACATTTCCGGTGAAAGAAGAATCCCTCTGCCGAGAGTCTTTCAAACACAAATATACGTTCATTGCAGAAATGACAATGTTCACTATCTCCCAATGATCCTCGAGTATGGCGAATCTTAAAAGAAAAAAATACAACTTTATTTATACTGGATAATTCTATCAGTTCTAAACTGTCCTTCCTAGAGGTCGAGTAAGGATCATCTCTTATTGATGCAGACTTACTACAGCCGGAGGAAACCTAAACTTAACTAACTTTATTGATACTGGATAGCTCTATCAGTTCTAAACTGTTCTCTCTAGAGGTCCAGTAAGAGTCATCTCTTATTGATCCAGTGTTACTACAGGAGGAAACCTAAACTAAACTAACTTTATTGATACTGGGTAGCTCTATCAGTTCTGAACTGTTCTCTCTAGAGGTCCAGTAAGGATCATCTTTTATTGATCCAGTGTTACTACAGGAGGAAACCTAAACTAAACTATCTTTATTTACACTGGATCAGTTCTAAACTGTTCTCTTCAGAGATCCAGGAAAAAATTAATTTAGAAAACGAAAAACTTTAGATAGATCGAACTTACAGGTGTTCCTGCTGTCGACTTTGCTTGCTGGTTCTGGTCAGGTTGAACGCCAAACACTTGCTGAGCTAAGGCGCTTATTCTACTGCTCGGCTTGTCCTCCACCTTATCAGATATCTGAATCTTACTGCCAGGGGCCCCGGTATTGCTGCCTTTTCTGTATGAAGTTAGTGAAACACCACTCCCTGACTGTTTTGCCTGAAAATCAGAATAAAGCAACATTACAATGCTGTTGATTCAATGTAGTTGGTACATATTGGTTCCAAAATATTAATCATCATCACCATCACCATCACCATCACCATCATCACCATCACCATCACCATCACCATCACCATCACCATCATCATCATCATCATCATCATCACCATCATCACCATCATCATCATCACCATCATCACCATCATCACCATCATCATCATCATCATCACCATCATCACCATCATCACCATCATCATCACCATCATCACCATCATCACCATCATCGTCATCATCATCATCATCATCATCGCCATCATCATCGCCATCACCATCGCCATCATCATCACCATCATCACCATCATCATCACCATCATCATCACCATCATCATCACCATCATCATCACCATCATCATCATCATCACCATCATCATCATCATCATCACCATCATCACTGTCATTACCAACACCATTATCATCACCACCGCCGTCGTCGCCGTCGCCGTCGCCGTCGCCGTCGCCGCTACTAGTAGCGTAGCCAATCAGAAGGCACGAAATGTGATAGCCTACTAGTAGGTTTATACTAAAGACTGATAGCCGAAAGCTCGTAGAAATAAATATTAAGTCAGAGAACGTTCAACAAATAATGTTTCAACTTGACTGCGCATCCTCTATTTTTTCAATTACCACCATCATCATCATCACTTATTGGCCCAGTGTTATAACAGTGAACTGATAGTACTTCTCACATGTGACTAACGTGAAATTATAATGAGATAACGAGTCCTCCCCCCCCCCCCTTCCCCAAATCAGCCAAGTAAGCCAGAGTGCTGTATTTTGTGATTCGACGATTGACAGATCGCTTGAGCTGGTTCCAAAGATAAGCCAAGAACTCAGTGGCTACTCTCCCCATGTATTGGCGTGCGTTATCGTCCATCGTTATGTGTAATATTTGGGTCATTCGAAGACGAAATGTAATATATCTTTATAATAAAAAATCCCATCTTCATCAACTTTTTCACAGTCAAAGTTTGCGGATATGATGCGATTAGACGAATTGCAAAGTAGTTTTCCTTTATTTTTTTTGTTAAAAAATTCACCTAATGACATCATATTCGGAAACTTCGACAGTGAAAAAGTTGATCAAGAGGGGATTTTTTATTATAAAGATATATTACATTTCGTCTTTGAATGACCCAAATATTACACATACCAAAAATTATATTTGGGGTTAGTCTAACTCAAACTACCAAAGGTCCAATTAGAGTTACAATCCTGGCAAAAATTATTGTGAACAGCGCGCGCGGAAATAAAAATACCATACTTGGCCAATAAATACGTGGAAAACAGCAATGTTTAACTTTCCCCCTCCCCCCGGTTCAATGTTGAAAGCTTATACATTGATTAGGTGAATTTTCCGTGAAAGCTTTGCGAAATGCATATCAAGACCAACATTGTAGGGGGGAGTGGGGGAGAAAAAGGCGCCAACAAGTGTATGCCAACAGTAATACTTTTAGCTTACATCTCAGTGTCCACGGAATTCTTGCCAAGATTGTACGTGTGATTATCAGGGATTCACGTGTTTAGATCTTATGCCGATATATTTAGGAGTGGGATGCTGATATATTCCTCCGTTTACCTTATTTTCTTCAGACACTTTATACTTCTTGCTGGATTTGTCAGCTGGGGTTTCTTCCTTGTGTTTCCGTTTCTCCTTGATGAAAACAAAAACAACACAACGTGGTAACAAGGTTACTATCCACCACAACAACAGTAGCAACCACCAGAAACCGATCAGTAACGACCTTGCAACAAGTCTGGTCACAACATGTGATATGGTCCGTTTCGGTAAGTCAACCACACCCAGTCCCTCTGTTAGTCTGTGAGTAGTTCTGTCATGCGCAGTGCGGTCTCTGTTGCCCTTTAAATCGTCTATAGCACTACGTCCCTTCCTCTTCGTCATGTCATTTCTGTCATGTGCAAAACGATCTCTCCTCTCCCTTAAGTCGTTCGTGCTATATGTGCGTCGGTATTTCAGGGTGTGTATTCGTGAAACGGGGCGTTCATAATTTTGTCGCTCTTTCAACTTTCGTGTCATAGTCTGCACTCGTGACTCCCTACTGACGTGGCGCTCTGGACTCACAGACTAAAATAACATACATAGTATTTAGTATTCTCTGCTTTCACCTTTCCTATCACTCTACAGCTGGCTTTCACTATACAGCTTTCCCGCCGATACATGCACGCCAAGCGTACCTATTTCACGGTTTTTTACAGGGATTTTTTAGGGCCGCAAGACGGCCCCAATCTTGAATTGAGTTTTGAAACTCAATCTTCTCATCCAAAGATTCTGTGCAGTAAAATGAAGTGTTTGAGTTAAACTCAGGACGTGTGCAAATTAGTTCTCAGTTGAAAACCCAAAAATTAAGTAAAAAATGGCTGGAATTCATTTCACAACAAAAGAAAAACAACGCATTTGCCGTCTTTAACCAGTTTATAATGTCCCTTAGTGCTCCTGCTTTAACACATTGCATCTCAACTACACTAAAGTTGGCACAGGTTTCAACCTCCCGGTAGGGGGGGGGGGGTGACTGCCGCCCCAGGCCCCCTTCATAATTTTTGCTAAAGAGTTGCCTGCGGAGGAGGCCAGTATTTGTATAGTTAATCATGCGATGGCGAGTACAATTAAGGATTAATAATACGAATGATGTTTGGAAATTTTGGCAAAATTGGACGAGCCGCTGGGGCGAGTCCAATTTGGCAAATTTCAAAACATCACGAGTATACTATTAATCCCTAATTGTACGAGCAACATCGCATGATTACTTGTTTATTATTAGCATGACAAAATTGGATACTTCTCAATGTCAACATCATATTCTCTCGCCAAAGCCCAGTCCTGCCAGACTTTCAACCAAAATCTGGTGCTTTTGTTCGTATTTAAAGCAAAATTTGGTGCTTTTGTTCGTATTTTCATCTAATGTAGTTCCTCAAGGGCAATTTCATTTCACATTTGCGTTTAAAATACCTTTCCGCCATTTTGTTTGTTTTGGGAAAATCATTAATAGACCTTATGCATAATGACGTCACAAGGCTTGATGCCCACGAGGAATGCTGGTCTTAGTAGTCATCGCCCGGGAAAATTAGACAATTCAAAATGGCCACTATCGAAATTTTCCAGGGCGATGACTACTAAGACCAGCATTCCTCGCGGGCATCAAGCCTTGTGACGTCATTATGCATAAGGTCTATTGTACTGCAGTACAATTAATGAAATAATTGTACTCCTCTCAACCAATCAGCATCCAGTAATTTTGTCATGCTAATAATAAGGTTGCAAATAAATAGAATTGAAAGATGTCGTTTAATTTTCTTGTTCCCTGTCAACACTTCAGATGTTGGCCCCATCTGCTATACAGGGCTACTCTAAACTGTAAATCCCACACTATCTCACGCTCCTTTTGTTGTTCTATACTTCTGTTCACTAACCTTTTTAGTTCTCATGCTTATTCTTGAGATCACAGACAGTTTGGACAACGGTGATCTGTGTTTATTGTCAGGAGATGTCACTTCATCGCTGGACACGCTGTGACGGGGCGTAGCTGAAAATTTTTAAAAAACATAGTCGACATCAATTAGCCTTTCTTACGCCGCCATTTTTGGGGTACTGCCTTTTCCAAATCTGAGATTGTACGCAGTGAATAAGGGATTTGTATAACTATAATTGTGAGTATAATCATTATAAGGCTAATTCTCTGGAGGTCCAAGTCATCTCTTATTGATCCAGCGTTACTACAGGAGGAAACCTAAATTAAACTAACTTTATTTATACTGGATAGTTCTGTCAGTTCTAAACTGTTCTTCCTAGGGGTCCAGTAAGGATCATCTCTTATTGATCCAGTGTTACTACAGGAGGAAACCTAAACTAAACTAACTTTATTTATACTGGATAGCTCTATCAGTTCTAAACTGTTCTTCCTAGAGGTCCAGTAAGGATCATCTCTTATTGATCCAGTGTTACTACAGGAGGAAACCTAAACTAAACTAACTTTATTTATACTGGATAGCTATCTCAGTTCTAAACTGTTCTTCCCAGAGGTCCAGTAAGGATCATCTCTTATTGATCCAGTGTTACTACAGGAGGAAACCTAAACTAAACTAACTTTATTTATACTGGGTAGCTCTATCAGTTCTAAACTGTTCTTCCTAGAGATCCAGTAAGGATCATCTCTTATTGATCCAGTGTTACTACAAGAGGAAACCTAAACTAAACTAACTTTATTTATACTGGATAGCTCCATTAGTTCTAAACTGTTCTTCCCAGAGATCCAGTAAGGATCATCTCTTATTAATCCAGTGTTACTACAAGAGGAAACCTAAACTAAACTAACTTTATTTATACTGGATAGCTTTATCAGTTCTAAACTGTTCTTCCTAGATATTCAGTAAGGATCATCTCTTATTGATCCAGTGTTACTACAGGAGGAAACCTAAACCAAACTAACTTTATTTATACTGGATAGCTATCTCAGTTCTAAACTGTTCTTCCTAGATATCCAGTAAGGGTCATCTCTTATTGATCCAGTGTTACTACAGGAGAAAACCTAAACTAAACTAACTTTATTTATACTGGATAGCTCCATTAGTTCTAAAATGTTCTTCCTAGTGGGAGGAAACTGGAGTACCCAGACAAAACCTATGCTAGCTGTGCTACCTGCATCCCAATTTAAAATTAAACCAGTTCACTCACCGGGTTTTTCATCTTTAAAAGCGTCATAATACTGAGCTAGATAGGTGACTATAGTCAACATGTCAGTCCTTTGGTTATTTGCCATCTCTACGGCAGAAATCTGGGGAGGTATGCCAAGCTCGTTTTCCGCTACACTGAATGCCTGCAAAATATATGAAGTGAATTGCAACTTGAGAATTTGTATATATCACAGATACGGTGAAGATACTCGCTGGACAATATGACTCACGTATGGGGTTAGCCTCGGTATATTTGGGGGGGGGGGGGCGGATCTAGTCTCGTCTGTAAGGAGGGGTCCAGGTTTTCCATGGGATGGTGCATGAGGGAGCCTTATTGCCACTCTCCTCTGCAGTCTGCGACGCTACTATCCCAATATTACCCTTATTAACTAATGCATTGTGAGTATTTTCTTTTGAGCTCACAAATCAATTAAATCGTTTCAAGAAATTAACATGCGCTAAACAGTAGAAGTTCTGCTAATCGCTATTCGAAAAGCAGAAATGTATGGGCAAGCAGATTTTTTAGGGTGGTGCTGGACTTCTCTAGGGGGTGCTGGACACTAGTAGGTGGGGTGCCCACCCGCCCCGACCCCCTATATTTAAAAACATGTCCTTCCTTGCTACGTGCGTATTGTATTTTCGATAGATTTTTAAAACCAACATGTTTTAATCAACCAATTAGCCTTTCGCTCGTCATGCAAGCAAGCTAACCAGCTGAGGTCGCGTGACAGCCAATTCTTATGCATACTCATCCTCCTTCCAGGGCTGCAAATAAATACTTGACTTGACAAGACATCTGTCCGATCACTTCCAATTTTGGTCGGACATAGCTTGAATTTGGTCGGACAAAAACCAACACCACTAAATGTGGTCGGACATATATGGTATACGTCACAAGATATATATACAAGTCACGAGACAAGTATGTATAGCCATTCCGGCGCAACGTTAAGTAAAATGCTAGAATGCCTCGCAAATTTTATTGCAAAATGCAAATTGGTGAATTTGCAATCGGATTTTGTCACAGCAAAAAAATGTATAATGTGACAATTTTGTTTGTGATCGGACCGACAGTAATTTGCAGCCCTGTCCTTCAATCCAGGCTTATACTGTAATCCCTTGAAAAAAAATGTTCTTACCAATTCATTATTTTGCTCGACGTCATCTTCGTTGAGTCGCTCAAAATCACTTCAAATATAGAAAAGAATACGGAAAACCACTGAGTATTTTTACAAAATACAAAACAACGGCAACTCCGAAAAGGAACATTCTTAATATTTAATATATAGTTCTAGCTTTCGACTATATGCTTTACATATTGTAGTCAACATCGGGAATGGTGCTAGGTCACATTACAACGATATTTATAGGTGACGATTAACGTAATTCGACATACACAAACATATAGAAGAGATTATATGAACAGAAGCAGAATTAGTTAAACATTATGAGGAAGAATTGACGCCTTAGTTCCGTGATTGAGTTCAGGTTGAAAACCTCGAATGGCAAGTGATTCTTTAAAAAGCAATAGGGACCAACGATCAGATCTGTGTATAATATCTTAAGAGTTATTGAATATGAATTCTGGTAGCATACAGGTTGGAGTGGAGTTAGTTTTCTCGTCAGGATATTGTTCTAGAATTGATGCGTTGAAAATGTTCGCATGATGTGATTAAATATACTGTTCGCATGATGTGGTGAAATATTTCAGATTTACAAAAGAGAAAACAGTCCAAGGCGTTGAGAAATATACAGCAACTTACACCAAGTCAGGTCTGAACTTGTGAATAAGAGCGCAAAATCCTAGTCCATTTTTCCAAGACGCGGACATATCCCTGATGTTGACATTTTTGTAGCCTTTGGTATGTTTTTGACACCACGAGAGCAACAGATCAGGACTCACTGAAACAAAACATGGTCATGATAAGTGGGTTTAACTAGTGTCGTATTATTCTGACACTGCACAGCAGTGGTGATCCAGAAAGGTTTTTTTAGAAGGGCAGGGAGCTGGGCGAGAAGCCAGGCAGTGACGGACTCTAGGGGGGGGGGGGCAATAATTTTTAAAGACCAATAAATCTGGTACCAAATATCAGAATTCACAAGCATTAATTGTTTAGGAGAAAGTGGCAAGCATCCACTTCACACCAATATAGCGTAATTGTCATATTAAATAATGACTATTAAATAAAACTGAAGCTAAAGTTAGCAATATAGCAAGCAATATATGATTCTGTACAATGCTTGCCAATGATGCCACAACATACGCATTTTGTACAATCTGTTTTGTTCTGTGTCGGATTCCTTACAGCTCTACTGATAAAATATGTTAAACAATCAGAATTGGTAGTTATAACTGTACATTAAACAACAAGGCTAATGGACATGATTAATTGATTATCTTAGAATAATGCCAGTCAGTGGTACAACTCGGGACTCTTTATTCATTTCATTAAGTGACCCATGTTCTGAAAGATTCTCATAACTTAGAGCCTTAACCGGACACCGAAACCCTTTTGGCATACATGTTGAAAACAACTCAAGTTAAGGGATGGGTAATAAAAATTCATTGTCATTTCAAAAGCATGGCTCACTCAAATATTGAAGAGTAAAAAGCAATGTCAACAGTCATATATCAATACAATATGTAAATCAATCAGAGTCACTATCTTCACCATTTTCCAATTTGTCAGGAGGCAAATGGTGTCTCCAAAGAAATTACATGTGCAGACAACATGAAACTTTAGACTGCAGAAAATTGCACAAGCAGTTATCAAACTCACAACTGAATGATATCCTTTTGTAAAGTTTGTGGCCAGGGTTGGGTATTTATTTTAATTGATATTTGGGGTTGGTTAGAAAATTTGTTGACTTTTTAATGGTTTGATCAGCGGAAATTTTACCAACAAAAACATTTTTCTTCGGTGCTAATCCCCCGCCATAAACAATGACCGGCCCTTAACCCAACATCGTAGTCAGGGTGTTTCCTCTCCAAGTGGGAAGATCTTGGACACAAGGAGGTTGGTACTATAACCACAATGCTAACACCACACTTCCATAACCTACCTTTATTTTTCAAATTCACAGGCTGCTGTGTTTCCATGTTATCAGGTTGTATTTCCTCAACTAAACTTTCCTCCAAGGAATTCTGAACAACTTTGTACAAATGTTTCACGGCGTCTTTTAGTGCCTTCCTCACACTCGCAGGGGGATAGCGCGACTTCGGGTCGATCGTGTAGCCATCGTAGTTCTTCGATACGTTGTCGGAGGTCGTCTGAGCCAATAGTTTGTAGACGCCTTCGCGTTCCATGATTAAATCAATAGGACGCTGCCCTAGACCCCAGCCTCTCATCATCCAGGCCGCGTCAAATACGGACAGAAAGCCTCTGGCGCAACCTGACCCAGTCGGCCAAAATGGCTGAAAGAGAAGATTGAACGATAATTTATAAAAAAATTGAATTCATCTCCCGACGAGCGGCCGTAAACGCATATGTTTTACCATTGAGCGCCAGCGCACTTCCCTTAACGAGTAAAATTGTTTGGTGACGAACAAGTTTTCTATGATCATTTTTCATATGACAAGTTTTGGACATTTGATACAGACAACTTTGCCAATTTTTACTATGAGAAGTACATTTATTCAAAAGCTAGTATGCGAGCTAGTAAGCTAGCTTTTGAACAAGTGCCCTTGTCACAGAAAAAATTGTCAAAGTACAAATTTTGCTCGTCTATATGGGTCAACAAAGAAAATTCGGCGAAGCAATCTGAGCACTTGGTTGGTCAGTGATCTATTGTTGTAATAATTAGAATCATGGCCGGATTTTGAGGGCCTCCCCTCAAAGTTTTCATCAACAATACCATATACTTTGAATATTTATGCATGAGATGATCAGTTAGTTATCCATATACACCACGTGATTGTCAGACTGTATAAAAGTAGCACAGAATCGGTATCGTTTGAGCATTTGCGGATTTGCCACCGAAAACGAAGGACGGCGCTGAAATGTTTTGGTCATTCAAGTCACACGTGTCGCAGCCGAGCCCGGCCTTGGGAATTTTACGAAATGCCATGCTTACAGAGAAGAATGATAATGCCCATCATACAATTTTATTTGTCTTGGACTTGGTATGTCGAGCATGATGTGTGGAATTAATCCTCCTCAACCGGCTGTACTTGGAATCAGGTATCGGTTTGTTGTCTACCGAATTTAAGTGGGTCTTCCCCGCGAGTTTCGAACCTATTCAGTTTTTCTTTGGTATCACGTACAATTTGTTACAACGGCATTTATATTACACATCGCCTTGCGACCACCGCAAATTTTGCCAGCAGATAAGGCTCTATAATAGTCTAATTGTTAAGGTTCCACCTGTACTTTTCCGCATCTTCATGCATGTGTTCGTATTTCCCACACATTTTCTTAGGTAGAGGTTTTTAAGTCATACCTATTGTATTACTTGTCGAGTTTCACTGGCTCACTGGCACTTAGTTGTATTTTACTCGTTCGTTTCTATTTAAACGGTCCGTATTAATACGGCATTTTAGCGAGTTCAAATGCACCAAACCCTAACGTTGTCCATGCATGGCATATATTTTGTTCTCTCGCGGGGTTTCAGCGTTTCCTAATGTGCGGTCTGGCAAGGTGGGTACACTAATCAAAACCCTACACATGTCTACGACGTGTTTTTGCAGATGCGTTCTGGAAACGTGTACTTCGGCGTGTGACTGGATATATGCGTTTTAAATGTATTAGATTAAGCTTTTGGGTCCATAGTACGAGTGTTGGTTATTCTCATGTGTTCATAGTTGTTTTAAATGCCACACCGTAGTGCGTTAGTAACTGCTTTTACTCACAATCCTCCAAAGACCAAGTGTATACTTGGCCTACAATGTGCATGCTTTGTGTTTTTTTTGCAGACCTGTGTTCTATTTTCCTCTCGGCTGTGCATGTTCTGTCCTCTATCTCGTGGTTTTCGTAGTTCTTTTGCTTTATTGTAAAACAAAAATTCTTTAGTTTGGCACTTATTATTTTTGGTGCAGAGGTCCATATCTCAGTTTTGCCCTACATTTGCGTGGCGTGCAATATCTGCAGTGTGCATCCGGGCGAGTGCCAGTGTGGACATTTGAAGTTAAAATTCACGCTAGTCAAGTGATTTCTTTGTTATCCACTGCTTTGCGTTAATGTTACGCAACGCACAACATGTCTTATTTACAAACGAGATCACTTCTAATTTTATTTTAATGCTGCTTGTATTGTTCTAGCTGTTTCACTGAGTTGTTCGTACATGTCCCATAAGTATAGCAAGTTTTTTGTTTTTGCGGGTCGCTAAATTGTTCGCAGCAATTATAGCTTGTCCATTGTATTCAATGGATTATACCATGCGGTGTTATGTTGGATTTGCATTTGACTGTACAATTTGTTTTGTTCTATTGAAACACTGTATAATTGTTTTTCTTCTACAGTATTACTCTTGGTGGAGCGATTACGTTTGCTTTAACTGTGCCGGTTTACGTATTGTTTTCATTTGCGTGACGCGAAAAACGGTATGTGCTTTAACGCTTTTTGAGCATTTGTCTTGTGTTATCTTCGCATCAGCTGTTTTCAGTTAGGCATTTGTAGGCCTATACATTTGCGAATGCTTTAGTTCCACTCGTGGTTTTATAGCGCGCTCTACAGGGTGTATAAAAAAAAACGCAACCTCGGAATTTCCTAAGAAATCACTTTGCAATTCTTAAGCATAAAAGATTTTAGGCCCCTGGGAATTGAAATCGAATTGCTAATAGATCATATTACTGTTGTTGTGTATAAATTTTGCTTTATGCACTCGCGTGTGCAGTAAATTTGACAGTTATGCTATTTTAAATTCCCAGGCGCCTAAAATCTTTTGTCTTTAAAACAATGTCGATTTCTTGGGAAATTCCGAGGTTGCGCTTTTTTTTTATACACCCTGTACAGGGTGTCCCAAAAAAAACCCGAAAACTATTGAACTGAATCATTTACTGTTAAAATTGAATGCCCTACCAAAAAGCTGAACGTAATGATGCGTAAAATATTGACATTGAAATTTAGTTAAGAACAACTCCTTGTAAAGTGCGCGATTTTCTGCTCTTGGGAATTTAAAGCAGCTTCTTAAATAGTTTCTTTATGCATAAAATTTACTTATGTCAATCATTTATGAACTGGTTGGAACCAACAGAGCGCTAAGGTATCCAAATTCTAACAATTAAATTGTTATTGGTGATTTCAATAGTTTTCGGGTTTTTTGGGACACCCTGTTGGGTTTGCGACGTAACTATACTGTACTTTGAATATTTATATGCATGAAATGATCAGTTAGTCATCCATATACACCACGTGATTGTCAGACTGTATAAAAGTAGCACAGAATCGGTATCTTTTGAGCATTTGCGGATTTTCCACCGAAAAGGAAGGACGGCGCTGAAATTTTTTGGGACCAACCCACCTCCACTCGGCTGCGACACTTCCGGACCTAGCTTCGCCGCACTCTACCTTTGGCTGAAACTTATTTATCCCCAATCTGAATTCCCTCCGTCAAAGGTATTGTTGGGGAAAGCGAGCACGCCGAGCAGTGAGAATATATTACTATAAAGCCCAAATCAGAGTTGCCAACATATCTAGTCTTTTCGTTAATGCATACGGTATTTACTCGTGTGAGCGCCGCGGCGCTCTTTAAATTTTCAGAGCTTCAGATGCGGCGCTCAATCGAGTAAATACGGTATACTCTATGAAAATGTCAGATGGCAGCTTGTATAACAGAAAATGTCATCAAACAAATTTTGTTTCACATCTTCAGGTTTTGGCCAGCCGTCTATAGCTACTACGGAAACCCACCAGTACACACCTCCATCAAACTGTCGCCGGCCAGACACGTCAACAATCGATGTCCCTTCATCTCGAAGATCATGGCAGCATTCTCGGCGGCGTACATGGACGTGAAGTCAAACATCGCAATATCTTCATTGTTCTGAGGGTTAACAGCAAAGTCAAGATGAGGGAGTTGTTTTGATGTACAAAAGTCGGCTGCCTCTCGTGCGTAGTTGAGTAGATTATCACGGTTGACATTCTGCTGAGCTAACAGGTCTCTGGGATCTGATAAATCCTACAAAAGTTAGAATAATCAGTAGGAGTTACTTCCTGGGCAAAGAGAAAATAGTTCATCTGAAATTCATCTGTGTATGAATACAGAAAACAGACAGAACAGCAATCAGGGAGGACCTACCATGGGTCCTCCCTAGTGGTGTCTAGTATCCCCTAGAGAATTGCAGGACCACCCCCAAAAACATCTGCTTGACCATACATTTTCTCAGTTGTCGAATAGCGATGTTGCGCAAATAACGTTCTAAAAATAGCAACACTACAGTGTTTTTATATAGATCAGTGGCTAAGATGAGCGAGCGGGGGTGCTTGGGGAAGACGCGGGAAACGAAGCACCCCCGCGCGCTCGCTCATCTTGGCCTCTGATCTATATAAAAACACTGTAGTGTTGCTATTTTAGTACGTTATTTACGCCTGTGTACGAGGCTGTAATTGATCTGTGAGCTCATGTCAGAGAAAATACTCAGAAAGCTATTATAGATCATGGTTAATTAAAGGTGATGTAAAGTCCATTCTGCGCATACGTTCTGCGCACGCCAACATTCCAATGGTCGCGACCCGACCATTGGAAACACCGCGGAAAAACGTCTGCGCATGCACCAAATTATGAAAATATGGCGGGGAATTTGAATATCAATTTCTAAAACAAAAACATGCTTATTAATTGGTCAAAAATTAGTAAAACAAACGAGAAAATATAGCAAATGGGTAGACTAGACATTAATTGAAAGCGTCCTGGCATTTAAAGTATGGAATAAAATATAATTCATGTAAAAAATTGTTGATTTTAACGGACACGACTTCGAAAATTTTTGCAAAATTATTCAAAACAAAAATTCAAACTCAAAAGTTAAGAAAACTCTCGAAAAGTTGAGCTTCTTAACCCACTCAAATTGTAGAATAAATCCTAAAGTTTAATTATTGTGAACACGAATTTTTTTTATATTTGGCGACACAGTTTTTTTTAAAGAAATGTATCTCAAACGAAAATTCGGAAATTGTCATTGCTTAGTTGATAAACAAAATGTTTCAGACGATAAATTTGTCAACAATCACCTTTAGTTCATGTTCTTGTACAATACAATTTCTTGAACCTTCTGACTGTATTTATTCCTAGTTTTTAGAATGACATGTTTATTTTTGCGCTCGAAATCTGGCTGTAAAGACGCACAATGAAGTCACTCCTTTTTACCGCCATTTTGAGCTTTCGGAAACGTTCTCGGAACAGCTTCTCATCAAGTTCGTAATACTATTACAGGTAAGCTTGACGCATGCGCAGACGTTTTTCCGCGGTGTTACCATTGGAATGTTGTTAATATTTCGCACCTTCCGAACTTTCTTGAATTGAATCTTTAGTCTGTATTCATTTACAAGCATATAGCGAACCAGATGAGTGTTAAAAATTCAGGGGACGGTTGTATAAAAAAGTGATTAACTTAACTATAGCTAGTGGAAACGCCATCCAATAAGAAGCGCGTATTTGAAAGTTAATCACTATTTAACTACAAAATAGTGATTAAAAAAGTGATTTCGAGTTTTATACAACCGGTCCCTGTATAATATATATCTAATCATATTTTACAACCGTAGCACTGAGTTCAAAATGTAAAAAAGCGTTTGTTTACATTACGGACTTTACATCACCTTTAAATATGTAAACATGTCGATGTTGTTATACAGCCATACTTTCAAATATACTGTATACTTTAACAAGCAAATTTACTGTCCTAGCTACGCCAACTGTCCAGTCACGCATACGTGATAAAAAGCTGATATAAACTTTATAAACAAGAGATAATGTAAAACGTAACAGAACAGTGAACATGCAGATTCGGCCATCTCAAATAATGGTAATGTTGGGATAGTAGCGTTGCAGAGTAAGGCTCCCTCATGCACCACCCAATGGAAAACTTGCATCCCTCCTTGCAGATGAGGCTAGATCCGCCCTCGGATGCATCATCAATGCCTTTTTGACGGACAATCTATCTGTACTAAAAAATCAGCTAATACCTTCTTCAAAACACCTTTCAGAAGTAAACTCTTCTTTTTGGCCGTCATAACAAAATAGTGTGTCTCGTCTTTGTAATAAACAATATTCTCCAAATCAATCCCTGTGGCTTCCTTGAGATCTTGAAAGAAGCCCTGATTAAAAATGTACGCTACGCCGCTGATTTCTTCTACCCTCGCGTCGGCCTTCGTGTTGCGATTAATAAAGTTCATTGTAATGGCGATCGCGAGTTTGCCACGAAATTCCTTCCTTTTGAAGCCTTTCAATGTGTGTCTGCGTCCGTCTGTGCCGATAATAACGTCGAACTGAAACTTGCTGACCACATGGTTTTCTGGCTTGACTTCCGCCGTCCACCCTCGGTCTGAAATGAAATTTTGTATGCATGCATGTAAAACTTTATTTAACGACGCTAGCCTTGTCAACAGCAATAGTTAACTTCCACAAGGAGCACCACTAGCATAAAAAATATTTACAAAGAAAGAAAAATATAAATATATAGCTATTTACAAGGGATTTACATATAACAGGAAATTAAATTAAATTGGTGTGACCCGGTCGTATATTAAGATATATGGTTGTTTCTACCTAACAATGAAATTGTTTTACAAAGTTTTTGAAAGAGTAAATTGATTGCGCTTTCTTAGCTTCACTTTGCTTTGCTTTGATATCACTTTCTCAAAAACGCTTTAACTGAATAGCACGATAATTATAAGGTTGTTTTAAGCTAATTTTTGGGCATTTTCAAAAACAGTAGTTCAACGTTCAAACATCAATAGCGCAGTCAATATTGGATGTAAATTCAAGTTCTATATATCAAAATCTAAGTTAGTCCTTTCTGAAAGCAATGATCTTTATTTCATTGCGATAGCTTTTATAGCCTTTGCGTTACATGAAATCAAACAGTATCCACTTTTTTGGGGGACACCCGGTATATGTCTGCATCCCCTAAATAAGAAGAAAAGATCCACGTCTCTTTCGTCATTGGGTGTTAAGCCTGGTTCACATAAAATCGTTAAGCAGTCGCAGACATGTGCCGAATTTTTATATGAACGATCTGCGACGGATCGGGAAAGTTGAATCAAGTTCAACTTTCCCGATCCGTCGCCGATCCGGTCTCAGACAGTCTGCGCGAATCTGCATTTATGTTCAAATAAAAATTCGGCACATGTCTGCGACTGCTTAACGATTTTATGTGAACCAGGCTTTAGTGGATGTTTTCTGGAATGACCCAATTTTATAGAATAATATCAACCAACCTTCTGATGGCTCTCTCAGCTTCACAAACAGACATTCTGCATAAACTTGCACACCAAGAATTAACGAAACTTTCAGGAGAATAAGTTGGAGTCGACGGATGCCTAAAATATGAACACATGTTTCAGAAAGTCACAAGTGCCTATTAACTTTCTAACGAAGAATCTTCACTTGTGTCTTTGTGATGTGAAAGGTTTTAAATTTTTTTTTATAGGTAGTTCAGACACAAAGCACAGCAACTTATTGTAGAATGCTACCTACACTGGACTATAGGGGTGCACCGCGGATAGTGCTTTTTGCTATCTGGCCGGATACCGGATAAAATGGACATCGGACATGCCAGATATGATTTAATAACCGGACATGCCAGATATGATTTAATAACCACATAAGGCATGGCATCCCAATAAAGAGCATAATTAAAACTTTGCATGCGCTGTTTATTTGTTACACATGTTAGCTAACAAAAGTACGTTCAATTTTTTGTGTTTAATTTATTGGGTTTTTTTGTATTAGTTTACAAGTAACAAATATTGAATAGTACGCTTCATTAAGTGGCTTATAGAAGAAATATCCAAGACAACATACATGAAAACCTTAATTCTTCGTAACTGGACCACCATGACGTTTGAGATATCTTTTTCGAAATGTAACAAATCTTTATAATAAAAAATCCCATCTTGATCAACTTTTCACTGTCAAAGTTTGCGGATATGATGTCATTAGGTGAATAGACCTTTCCCCTTATAACCAAAATTTTGATCTAGGCAAGTGTAGACAAATATTTCATCACAGTTTGAAAGAGCATCACAAAATTAGTAATATTCCAAAATTTCGTTGCGAAATGTTGTAAAATGAGGAAAATAGAGCCTTGCGAAGTTTGCAATTTTCAGTCATTTTGCATTACAAACGGGAAATTGCAGCCCCAACACCCGAATCGGATGTCAATTTCCCGTTTGTAATGCAAAATGACTGAAAATTGCAAACTTCGCAAGGCTATATATTATCCGCATTTTACAAGATTTTGCAACAAAACATTGGAATATTACTAATTTTGTGATGCTCTTTCAAGCTGTGATGAAATTTTTGTCTAGATCGAAATTTTAGTTAGAAGGGGAAAGGTCCATTGCAAATTAGTTTTCCTTTGTTTTTTGTGCCAAAAATTCACCTAATGAAATCATATCCGGAAACTCTGACAGTGAAAAAGTTGATCAAAATGAGGTTTTCTACTATAAAGATAAATTACATTTCTTCTTAGAATGACCCAAATATTACATATATCAAAAATTATACTTGAAGGATTTTCATTCGAAATGTCGGATTTTTTCAGGTAGTTCAGACACAAACCACAGTATAAACTCATTGTAGAATACTACCTACACTGGACCACCATGTCTGAAATATCTTTTTTAGGTAGTTCAGACACAAACCATGGCAACTTATTGTGGAATACTACCTACACTGGACCACTACATTTGAGACTACAGGTAGTTCAGACACAAACCACGGTATAAACTCATTGTAGAACACAACCTACACTGGACCACAACATTTGAGGTTTCTTTTTCATGTAGTTCAGACACAAACCACAACAGCTTATTGTAGAATACTACCTACACTGAACCACCACATTTGAGATATCTTTTTCAGGTAGTTCAGACACAAACCATGGTAGCTTATTGTAGAATACTACCTACACTGGTATTTTCAATTTATGAATTGATAGATGTTTGGTACAATCAGTGAATATAGTTTCTGCCACATAAATAATTCTTGTTTTTCCTCGCTTTCAGGAGCGGATTCTAGCTTATTTAATTTTTGAAAATAGATCTCTTTTTGTATTTTTACAGCCATTTTGTTGGTAAAAGTTTTAAAAAACTTGCCCAGAGCCAGCTCAAAACATTGCTAAAAACCACTGCCGGCAGACAATTTAAAATTCAGTGGGGTAAAATGTATTTTAATTTAGCCTGCTAATTTGTTCACGATCAGGCCAGCAAATTAGTGTTGGTCATCAAACAATGTCTGGCCAAATTTTAACTGTTGTCCAATCAAAGCTTTTTATGACAGACATGTGACCGACTGATTTAGGCTCACGAAAATTATGCAATCTCAAAAATGGATTTTTAACACATCTTTTATTACTGAAACAAAAGCATGTTTAAACAACACTTCCCCACCATTTCTCACTGCATTAAACCGTAAGATTTAATGACCAATACAAATCGTCTTCATATAGTATAACATGTTAGAAGTCATTTATAACCTGAACCATAATTTACTGTCTGTCTGGTGCATAAATAGGACTGGTAGATATAATTAACTCAGTTTTAGATGAATTGAATTTTTTTACTTAATGTCCAATTTTGTCCTTGCAAGAAAAATAATTTGCAAGCCTGATTTTAGCCTGCAAAATATGCCACAATGTGTTCTAAAGTTATTGCTGTGGAAGCAAGCAGCAAGCCTGAAGCAAGCGACACAACAGATCTAATTTGTGTAGATGGGGATTTTGGTTATATCTTTTATCTCAAAACATTCTAGCGCAGTGCATTGTGGTCATGCGCGATCGGGAATGCGCAGTAAGCTATTTTTCTGTGGTGTTGGCCACTGTCAGTTCTATATTATTAGTTTGTTTCTTAGTGTAACAAATCTGTGAATATAATGTGGCAAATGTGCCCAGCAGCATACAGACTTGATATGAAATCTGATAGCAAAAACTTGTGTTATATAATTAATCACAGTTTATAGACTAAGACTATAAACTGTGAATTAATTTACTTGTATGTCAATGGGACGCATATGTTTAATATCTGTCACCTGTGATTGCCCTTTAACCCCTGGTTGGCTACTTTTAATTAACATATATATTGCTTTTTCTCAGTGGATACTCATGGTAAGAATCGATTGCTTACTGGCTTAAGGCCTTAAGCTCAAAGCTCACTAGTCGCTGCGAGTAATAACTGTGCTTGATATAATTTGTGCCATTTACTGTAGTTCTATTTGCTTTCAATGCACGCAGCAATCCCTAGCTTGTGCACAGGTACCATAGTTATAATACTAGTGAATGTACATTGGAAAGATATTTCCAGAAGGAGTTACCATAGTGGAAAAGGAGAAATCTTAACATAATGTTAAAGAGGAACTTGTCTGATATCGAGTGGTTTTTGTGTCTAAGGAAGTAATTTCTAATTACTGATGTATGAACTTCCTGAGTGGACTTAAATACTTTTTTTCTCACGGAAAAGGAACTCAAAGGTCCAATTTATACGAGAGACACGTCATCTGCCTGTAGAATGATCTGTTTTAAGCATGGTTTACGCTATCAAGTTTCAGTAATAACAGATTTTGCATACTAGGTAAATTCTAAGTTTTGAACGAATTGTAAGAAATGTTTAAGGGAACTGACTCAGTATTAAATTAACCCATAAGTAGGGCACACTCTGGATCCACTCTGGGGCGTATTGTGGCTCAACAGATTAACTAGAGACATTGTCAGATTTTTTGGTTAACCCATTAATCCGCAGAGCTTCCCCATTGACGAGTAAAATCGTCTGGAGTTAGACAAGTAAAAAAATAAGTAGGGCGCACTGGGGCGCATTGCGGGTTAAACAAGGAGTCATTTCCCTCGAAATATTTTTACAAATCATACAAAACTTAGAATTTACCCGATGCAATTAGCAAAATGACTATTGATCATGATCACAGAATATTTTTTTCAAATGGTCGTCAAAATGAACATCCATTGCCTAGCATAAATCTGTGCCACTCTCTGCATTTTAAAAATATAAATTTCACTGCTAATTGATACTAAATGAATTAGATGTGAACCAATACAGCAGATGAATTAAAATTGTTAACTCATCAACATATTTGAAATACAACAGTATCAAATTTCACGTGCTAATATAGACCCTATTCATAAATATTTTTACTTCAAACTTCAAACAAAAGCATGCTGTTTTAATAACACAAAGCTATTAAACTAAAACATTTATTTAAACCAGCAGAGAAATTTAAAATTGCGGCTTTATATACTAGCTTTATGAACCCTTTATATTAAAAACAATAGGCTATTTGCTAGTCTGAATTTTATACGAATGTAAACAATAGCTATACTCTCTATTCTCAAACAACCTGGACTATTTTACTGTAAAGTTTAATTAAACAAATTTTCAATACTTACTGATGTGATCTAAAGTACCAGCGCAGAATTTTCCAAAGAATTTCTTCGCTCCCAAGTTTTTCAGGTCCACTATGAGAAATGGCCAGAGATGCAAGACGTTATTTCGGGAAAAGCTATTTCGCTTTTCCAAGACGACAACTTTTGCACCAAGTAAAGCAGCCTCTATCGCGAAGCGAAGGCCACAAGGTCCACATCCAATTATTAAGACATTATTCTTAGCACAGGGCTTCTTTTTGTCTCGGGTTTTATAGGTAAGAAGCTCGGCCCTCTTGTCCAATTTGTTCCATAAACTTTGACATTTCCAGCTCGTGAGACGTTCTTTCAAAAGTCCGAAAACATTTTGGTAGTCGTTCGTCTCTATGTTGACACTCGCACACAGCTTTGAAAAAACGTCTAAAGTTTCTAAAAAATTCGAAGCCGCTATGAAAGAGTCGAATAAAGCATCAGGCTTTAATTTAGCTTCGTCAATCGCTTTAGCGTCCGTAAAATCACCATTTTCAGCCATACTTTTAGAATTCCAGCCCTCAGACAATTGTCAGCCAGACATGCGTTGCGTCTCATAAGCCCATATTCAAACCGAATTTTCTACTTAAAAGAGCCCAAATTTCGCCGCCAAAACGCCACATTATGACAGGCCCATATCTCTAAATATACTATGTGAAAAATAAGGTGTTTCTAGCCATGTGAAGCTAGCTTTTCTTGTCAGAAATATTGTCAAACGTTTAACAAATTTCATTCATCAAAGATGGATATAAACAAATGGGATTTGTTGCCCGCGTGACTTCCGGGTCATTCTTAATTTGTCCCCCCCTGGATGCTAAACGCCGATCCATATGATGGATATAAAAACCGGGGGGTGATAACAATTGCAGCCTATAGTTACGGCAGAGGTTACCTAGGTTCTCTAATGAGGTTGCGTAATACGGCAACTTAGTGCTGCTATAGGCGCGACGGTTTTGCGTTCCGTGTGAGATTAGAGATTGCATTCACAACTCTAGGGAGAACAGTTTAGAATTAGAACTGATAGAGATATCCCGTAAAAATAAAGTTAGTTTAGTTTAGGTTTTCTCCTGTATTAATAACACTGGATCAAGACATGAACCTTACTGGACCTCCAGGGAGAATAGTTCAGATGAACCTTACTGGACTTTACTGCAGGGAGAACAGTTTAGAACTGATAGAGCTATCCAGTATAATTAAAGTTAGTTTAAGCCTGGTTCACATATATGCCTGCAACGTGCCTGCGACGTACCGGCGACGATGCCGGTGGTAGCTTAAAACGTGAATTATGTGAATATTTGTTCGCCGATTGCCTCCAGTGCCTCAGTTACATCGGCGGTAGGCCGGGAAAGTTGACTTGAGTTCAACTTTCCCGGTCAGTTTCGGCGGCAAGTTGAGGCATAATGATACAGTCGCAGGCATATGTGAACCAGGCTTTAGTTTAGATTTCCTCCAGTTTAATAGTAACACTGGAACAATAAGAGATGATCCTTAAGCCTGGTTCACATACGCCTGCGGTATGCCTGCAACTGTATCATTATGCCTCTACTTGCCGCCGAAATACCGGCAAAGTTGAACTCAAGTCAACTTTCCCGGCCTACCGCCGATGTAACTGTGGCACTGGAGGCAATCGGCGAACAAATATTCACATAATTTACGTTTTAAGCTACCACCGGCATCGTCGCCGGTACGTCGCAGGCACGTCGCAGGCATATATGTGAACCAGGGTTTACTGGACCTCTCACACCTCTAGGCTCTAGGTAGAACCGTGTAGAATTGATAGGGCTATCCAATATAATTAAAGTTATTTTAGTTTAGGTTTCCTCCTGTAGTAACACTGGATCAATAAGAGATGAACCTTACTGGACCTCCAGGGAGATCAGTTTAGTACTGATAGAGCTATCCAGTATAAATAAAGTTAGTTTAGTTTAGGTTTCCTCTTGTAGTAATACTGGATCAATAAGAGATGATCCAGCTTACTGGACCTCCAGGGAGATCAGTAAACTGATCCAGTATAATTGAAGTTAGTTTAGTTTAGGTTTCCTCCTTTAATAGTAACACTGTAACAATAAGAGATATGACTCTTACTAGACCTCTGGCTCTAGGTAGAACAGTGTAGAATTGATGGGGCTATCCAGTATAATTTTAAAAGTTAGTTTAGTTTAAATAGGTTTCCCCCTGCAGTATTAAATACTGGACAAACCCTAGAGAACAGTTTCGATATGTCCAAGTATGATGCAAGTAAATATGTGAAGCATGTTTGAAATTTTAATACGATTTTCATTCGGTCTTTAATGGTATAGGACCTACTGAATTGTTACAAGTAGTTTTGATCATATATGGGCTGAAATATAGTGTTAGATAGTGAAATATTATATATCTTGTCATCAAATCCTAGTATCACATTCATCAATCCATATTTTCAGTCATCGAGACGCAATTATGCGCAATGTACAACAAACCGCGCAGTTAATAATAAATTTAACCTCAAAAATCAACACTCGGGTTATTAATACGCGCTAATTGCGGGCGCTGTTGCACTCGCTAATTATAATTGAACGCGCGTGGACAATTGATTGATGTGTTTTATATATACCTGGGTATTAGATGAATGAATTAATAGATCATCACTAATGGATAAACCTATATAGACATGTTTCACTGAGCATGATCGTGCAGCAGATGGTGGTCAACCTGCTGCAGTTATATCATCAAGCAGTTGTCTTGTACGTATTTGGAAGCAAATCAATAGTATCCCGGCTCTTCAGATAATAAAGTAAAAAACAAATCATCCGAAAAGACAAGACATCTTGAGAATACAATATATGATTCAAAACAAGATGCAGGTTGAGACTGTAAATTTTCGACTTTATTTCATGTCTGAACCCTGAAGATGATTCTTAAGATGTCTTGTCTTTTCGGAATTTGTTTTTTACTTTATTTTTTAAATTGTCGGCTGGTCATGGTTTTTAATTTGGACTCTTCAGAGGGCCCCCTATACCTCTTCACAATATGCTTTCACGTAAAAATATTTTGCCTTTTCACGAGTCACGGATTAAGAAAATCATCGATCACGTTTCACGGCTAAGTAAAATAAGCCCTTCACGCTTCACGCAAAAAGTATAGGGGGCCCTCTCTTCAGATAAGCATCGATATTTCTGAAGAGTGTTGCCATCTATCGAAATACGCACAGCACTGAAATTATTCTATGGAGTATGGTTGAAAAGTATCGAATTCGATCAGTAAGCTGTTCTCAAATCATTGCCGCATGATTTCGTCTTTCGTATTTACACGAAGCGCATTGAAGCGAATAAGTTCATAGCCTGAGCACAACTACAAAAGCCGGTTACAAACGAGCTAGTTACTATGGCAAAATTTTCTTTTGGCAAGTTTTCTTTGTCAACAAATTTTCATTGTTAAAAGTTAAAAATTTTCAACGGCTTCAAATTTGTTTTCCGACTTGTGTCGGCGCCAATCACATTTTACAAAATTTTCTTTCTGCGCAGAATTTTCCTGAGTGGAAACTGGGTTTATACAGATACAGAAGAACCAAATTCATACTTTGCCAATTTTTTTCTATGGGACAAGTACACTTGTTCACTGAACTGGTTATTGCCGGATGATCAGTCCAGCTGTCGACTAATTTTCTATCTCAGGACAAGAAAGACAAAATCTGTCATTACAGCTCAAAAGAGCATCCTAAAATTATAGTAAAATTGCAAAGTTTGGTTGCGAAATCGGTTGTAAAATACGAAAAATATAGCCCTGTGAAATTAGCAAATTTTGAGTATTTTCAAACGCGCGGAAAAATGCACCACGGCACTTTCGGCTCAAAAACGGTGCATTTTTCCGCGAGTAATCTGGCTAAAATACTCAAAATTTGCTAATTTCGCTGGGCTATATTTTCCGTATATTTTACAACATTTTGCAACCAAATGTGGTAAATTTAGTCAGGGACGCCGGAACTGGGGGGGCAGGGGGCGGCTGCCCCCCCCTGCCTTTTGCTAGGGGGTGGCAGGGGGGGGGGCACAAGTGCCCTTTTAGTTGTAAAATTCTACGTGATAAATCACATTTCCAACGATGCTTTTTTGTAGGAAAATCATGAGATTCAGGCAATTTATAGTTTATATTTGACTTTTGGTATGTCCAGAAAAAATTTTTGACCCCTAAAATGGTACACTGACCGAAATTTTTTTTGGGGGGGGTGTGGGGGAGGTCGCTCAAAACTTTTCAATGAAATTTTTAGATTTTGAAGTTTTGCTCTATATAGGTGCCCTTGGTCTGCGTCCGCCCCCCTTTGCCTTATCATCGTTCCGGCGTCCCTGATTTTACTAATTAATTTTAAGGATTTTCTTTTAAACAACACTGATAGTATATTTCGTCCTTCTTGTCTCGGGATCAAACTGATTTACTCTGTAGCCTATAGCTGAAATCATCCATTAAAAGTTCAGTGTCACATGAAAACTTGCAATCGTCTGTATAACCGCCGGGCTTAATCAATCGTGCAATTTCCCGTGTGAACATGCAAATGAAAAAACCGGACAACTTTGCATACGTCGGCTTGATCTTTATACCTTGCCACGTTGGCGTCTACTAAACGCGTTCATCAATTCATGCCCGATAATCGATAACCATAGCATCCTTCTAAATCATAAACAAACCATAATATTTATGAGTTGGAACGGCCTCTGTGCCAGCCTAGAAAGTGACAAATACATCAGAAAACTGTGGATCAGTATAGTGCTTGAACTACGTGAAAAAATACAAATAAAACTTCAAAGATTTCAGGTAATTGAATCTTTATCAATTCGCGGTTTTCTGGTCTTAATATTTACGGCACACAAAGCGTAACCCACACATAATATCCCAACTTAGCTTCTAATGACCTCAAACAACAACGGCGCCGAAAATTTGCTTGCCCAAAAAATTTAAACATTACTCTAATTTTTCCAAGCTACGAAATTTAATACATTTCAATATTGGTTAGGAAAGTCATTCATTACCGATGATCATTTGTCGTGACAGCCCGCGGAGTATAAATTTGAGGTTAAAATTTCTGAAAGTTCATATCGTTTTGTCTTTTGATACTAGAAAATTGGATAAAAAATCGTGAACGCATTGGAGTTAAGGTGAGTGAAATATAACATTGAGTATATTCACGAGCCCACGGTTATCCTGGCCGGGCTTTTATTTTCATCATAACTATGCTAGATAACTTCGGAGTGTAAAACGTATTATGTTTTCCTACCAGAGCCAGAGGCCGATAGTTACATTTCTCACAACTGCTCTTGGTTTAATTAAATAGGTCTGATAAATTCTTAAAAATTCGACTAGATTCTAGAAATTTCCATCTATAAATCCCTATAGTTTCACTACAACAATTATGTTAGCCGACCCTTTAACTCGGATGGCACTAAAAAAGGTTTAACACTTTCCCCATGACCATGCAGGTATAAAATATCCGAGCGATTTTTCTGATTCATAATTTCACCTCAGTCACATATGTGAGAATGGTTTAGAACTAGCCACCCTGCATGCATGCAGTATAAATAAAGTTAGTTTAGGTTTCATTCTGTGCGGTACTAACACTGGATCAATAAAAGATTATCCTTACTGAACCTCTGCCTGGAAGAACAGTGTAGAACTGATAGAGCTATCGGTATAAATAAAGTTAGTTTAGTTTAGGCCTTTCCTCTTGTGGTAATATTAAATGAATAAGAGATAATCTTCACTGGACCTCAAGGAAGAACAGTTCAGAACTGATAGGGTAATCCAGTATAAATAAAGTTAGTTTAGTGTATGTTTCATCCTGTAGCAACACTGGATCAATAAGAGATGATCCTTACTGAACCTTCAGGAAGAACAGTGTAGAACTGATAAAGCTATCTAGTATAAATAAAGTTAATTTAGTTTAGGTTTCCTCCTGTAGTAACATTGGATGAATAAGAGATAATCTTCACTGGACCTCAAGGAAGAACAGTTCAGAACTGATAGAGCAATCCAGTATAAATAAAGTTAGTTTAGTTTATGTTTCCTCCCGTAGTAACACTGGATCAAACGATCAATAAGATCATCCTTACTGGACCTCTACGGAGAATAGCTCGGAACTGATACAGCTATCCATCAAACAGAATGCAGTTAATAATTCCTTTTATCTTGTATACTACAGGAGTAAAATGGCTTATCCTAAAAGCATTGTGGTTTTCTTATCTTTTGCTTTAATCCTGAGTTTTGTGGTGGAGCAATCAAGTGCTCAACATCTACGTTGGGGAAAACGGAATGAAATGGAAACAGATGATCAAGACTTGATCAATAAAGGTGGTGTACCTTTGCGTAATCTAAATATCCTTTATAGACTTTATATATAGCCTAAGCTTCGAGTACAAATAAAGTTAGTTTAGGTTTCCTCCTGTATAACACTGGATCGATAAGAGATAATCCTTACTGGACCTCTAACTGGTATAAAAAAAAGTTAGTTTACTTTAGGTTTCCTCATGTAGTAACACTCGATCAATAAAAATTATCTTTACTGGACCTATAGGGCCGGAACAGTATAAAACTGTAGAGCTATTCAGTATAAATAAAGTTATAGTTGAGTTTAGGTTTCCTTTTGCTGCAGTAACACTGGACCACAAGGGGATGATGCTTAAAGTAACTGTACTGATTTATACTGGATATTAATTACGGAAACCACTCAGTATTTTAAGAAAAGATGTTATTCGGAGTTACTGTTATTTTATACTGGATAGTTCTCAGTATCAGTTCTGAACCGCTGTTCTTCCTAGAAGTTCAGGAAGGATCATCTCCTAGCTATCGATCCAGTGTTACTACAGGAGAAAACCTGAACTAAACTAACTTAATTTATACTGAATAGCTCCATCAGTTCTAAACTGTTCTTCATATAGAGGTCCAGTTTCTTCCTGTAGCAACATAAACCCTGCATATGAGAACAGCTTGGAATTGATAGTAGTATAAATAAATATTGTTTTGTTTCCGTGGCGATAAAACGAAGAAATATATATTTCATTACAGGAAGATGGGCTGGTAAATTACGTGATATGGAATCGAATTTCTTGCAAATGTGGAAGCGAGCTTACCTGGCTGGAAAGTACTCCAACAGGCGACGAAAAAGTATTCAATAATTTGCGAAGAAACAATCAAATAATAGAAAGAGAAACACTTAAAACAACAGTAAGGTCTTAATCAGTTCTTGTATGTAATTAATATCATGGGGCTCAACAACCAATTAGTGTTAATTAAAAGATTCTAAACTCATTAAAAGCTTGTTAGCGTTTAGGAAATGAAGTCAATTATACTAATAGTTCTCAAAAATATTATTGAAGGCTGTCACTTTAATTAAAGAAATACAATGAACTATATTTCCGGAAGGAAATGTGCCGAAAACATTTTAGAAAATTCTATAATTCTATATTAAAATGCCGTATTCTTAATTCGAGAAAACACGCAAAATTCTGCTTGCGGGGTGTAGTTCTGCCAAGTTACCTTGGTCAGCTGTTTTAGCCTAGTATATACACGAGTACATTTATTAACATTGATTAACATCTCCATCCACTTTCACAATAAAAACTGTCAGATCTGCCGACTATATGCTTGACATAATATTTCAAATCCGACTATGAAGGGCTGGACTAGATTTCAAGTTCACGCAATTTGATCACGTCCGAAGCGAAGCCGAGGACTGGAACAAAATGTGAGGACTTGAAATCTCGTCCAGTCCTCATAGTGGGATTTGAAATGACATCTCATACGAATAATCACTACTTAAAGTGAGGTGAATTAATTTGATCCAGTCCTAGGACTGGATCAATATACTTCACTAGGTATGCATGCAGTATTATCGTGTGAGCAAAATAAAGCATTACGGTAATGCGAGTGGCTAATTCACTCACGAATTATTGTACTGGGATTGCCAGTAAACGTGGCCAAAAACAGGTTTTAACTCACTTTTAATTATCAAAATATATGGAAAATTACAAAATAGTAGATGTAGGTAAAACACTGTTTTCCTTCGGACGCCATATTTTCTGACAACCTCAGAGTGGCTGAGATCGCGAGTTGTATTTCACAAAGTCGTGAGATTTTGTGAAAAACCATGAGATTTTAATAGAAATATTCCATCTGTAGGCTGTTTCGGTATGCTGATATACTGAAAATTACTGTTTTTTATAAATACACTATTATTCTATATTTAATTTTTTTACATCAGTGGCGTAACGCTCGTTAAAGCCTGCAGCACACGAGAGCTATCTGCTGAGCCAAAAGTTACTCGTGCCTGTTAGCCGCTCAGCTGATAGCTCACCTATCAAACATGTTTGATACGTGAGAAAAGGTTGCATGAGGCAAAAAACTCAGTAAAATGTACGCGCACACGGTGAGCTATCGGCTGAGCTAACAGGCACGCGTAACTTTTTGCTCAGCAGATAGCTCTCGTGTGCTGCAGGCTTAAGGTAGGGTTAGTTGAAAAACAAAGGGCCCCCATCAGTTAGTTGCCCCCATCAGCCACGGCCTATCGCCCAGAAAATTTGAAAACATAAAAAAATGCAGGCTAAGAAGTAAGAATCAATGGGAAAATGAAAAATTAAAAATGCTAAATAATAAAGCCTCCATCGACAACGGTAGCTGATTTTGTTATTCCATCTCAAATAAAACAAAGATTATTCTTATTAATTGTGACATGCGTTGGAGACTGTTATTGTTATAGACACAGAATTGTCCAGAACATTCTATAAATATTCAATATAAATATAATATCTCAGTCAAACAATGACAACAGACAACAGGGGGCCCCCACAACAAATATGCGCGAGGGCCTCCTCTTCCGGCTCCGTTATGCCACTGTCCGACATATCGGAATATTGTTGTTCGGTTGGTATTTTGGTATCAGTTTATGTTTGTATATAAAGTTGTCATTTTGCTTGTCAAAAAACAAACTTATAGAACGGTAGCTGATTGCAAATGATATTAATTAAAAAAAAAAGTTGAAAAGTTGTCATAATATGAAAACTTGCAGTCGTCTGTATAACCGCGCCAGGCTTAATCAATCGTGGAAATTCCCGTGTGAACAAATGAAACACCGGACGACTTTGGCCATATGGCGGCTTGATCTTTACATTGTTATGCACCCGTCTACAGGTCTACTAAACGTTCATCAATTCATGCCGCATAATCAATAACCATAGGCATCCTTCTAAATTACAAACAAACCCGTAATAGTGAGTTTAAGATACCCCGGTTTCGGTTTACGGGTACGGGTAGCATGATTTTGGTTAGCAATATTTTCGTCGATGTCTGTACCTTTACTCGTAATTAAGGTGCACATTTTTCGCATTATATCATTGTCCATTGCAAGAAAACAGAAAAAGTATGATCGAATTACAGACATCAGTAAAACAAGATGACACTACTCGTACCCGTACACCGAAACCGGGGTATACTCGAACGGCCTCTGTGCCAGTCAGGCTAGGAAGTGACAAAAACATCAGAAAACTGTGGATTATAAATAGAGATTGAACTACGTGAAAAAATACAAGTAAAATTTCAAAGATTTACTTTTCAGGTTATTAAATCCTTTGATCAATCCGGTGCGGTTTTCTGGCCTTGATATTTACGGCACACAAAGCGTAACCCACACATAATATCCCAACTTAGCTCTAATGACCTCAAACAACGGCGCCGGAAATTTGCTTGCCCAAAAAATTTAAACATTACTCTAATTTTTCCAAGCTACGAAATTTAATACATTTCAATATTGGTTAGGAAAGTCATTCATTAGCGATGATCATTTGTCGTGACAGCCCGCGGAGTATAAATTTGAGGGTAAAATTTCTGAGAGTTCATATCGTTTTGTCTTTTGAGACTAGAAAATTGGATAAAAAATCGTGAACGCATTGGAGTTAAGGTGAGTAAAATATAACATTGAGTATATTCACGAGCCCACGGTTATTCTGGCCGGGCTTTTATTTTCATCATAACTATATGCTAGATCATACCTAATTTTAAGAATTTTTAATCACTGCACATTTTATGCCAAAAATTTCCGAATGACTAAGAAAATTTCATAATATTCGGAAATTTTTGGCGACCCCCCCCCCGGTCCCCAAAAAAATTTTGGTCAGTGTACCATTTTAAGAATCAAAAATTTTTTCCGGACATACCAAAAGCCAGATATTAACTAAAAATTGCCTGAATCTCATGATTTTCGTACAAAAAACATATACTATTATTTAATTCGCTAATTTGGCAGTCATCATTTCAATTTCAATTGAATCATTCTCTGCACATTTTACATTTTATCACTGCACATTTTACTTTTATCACTGCACAAATTGGTTATCACTGCACACTAAAATTAGGTATGTGCTAGATAACTTCGGAGTGTAAAACGTAGGCCTATTATGTTATTCCTACCACAGCCAGAGGACCGATAGTTACATTTTCGGGACTGTTTATATGATCCCGGCCAGGCGGGTCGGGATGCTTACCGATCCCGCTCGTAATACAAATTCTAAAGAGTGTTTATATGATCCCGTCACTTATCCCGCCTAGACGGGATCTCGGCAACAGATGCCGGGATTCCGCCTAAGCGAGATGAAAAATTCCCATATAAACACTTTATCCCGGCTAGGCGGGATAAATTTTTCCCTTTTGAGCATGCGTAAATGCTTTTATTGCAACAAAAAAATGACGTCAAGCACTTAAATGGCTTCATCCCGGCAATGTATTTTGTCCATATAAACACTAGGAGAGTATCCCATCTAGGCGGGATGAAAACGTCCCGTCCCGTCTAGGCGGGATCATATCTACAAATCCCTATAGTTTCACTGCAACAATTATGTTAGTCGACCCGGTTTGCAGGGCTGCTCGCTTAAACGGGGCGCCCGGCTTCATAGTAATTTCCAACACAAAGCAATTTTACTTTACATGACAAACTGGGCCAGCCCGTTTAGCTGGGATCCCACTTGACTCAAACGGGGCGCCCGCTCAGCCGGGATGAAATTTCTCCATGTAAAGTATCCAGCCCGGGCAACCGGGCTAGAACACAAAAACTTCATTTAAAACAAAAATATAACACAGAAACTGATATTTTTCTTGACAAAGTTTTATTTCTTCAATTAATCTTGCCGACAAAGTAGTTTTAATCAATTAAATTTGCCAATAAAGCACAAATTCAACTTCCGTGACAGACGTTACACTGTTAACTCGTAAACAAGTTTTCCCCGCCAATTTTCGTCAGCATGCATTTCAGCCCGGCAAACGTCTCATCCCGGCTAGCCGGGCTCATGTAAACAGCCCCTAACTCGAATGGCACTAAAAAAAGGTTTAACACTTTCACAATGACCATGTCTAAAGTGTCCGAGCGGTTTTTCTGATTCATATTTTCACCTCAGTCACATATGTGAGAATGGTTTAGAACTGGCCACCCATGCATGCACGAAATAAAGTTAGTTTAGGTTTCCTTCTGTATACTAACACTGGATAAATTAATAAAAGATTATCCTTACCAGTGGCGTGCTGGCAGGGGGGCAGGGGGGCCGGGGGGCCACGGCCCCCCCAGCTGGCAATTTTTGGGGGGCGCAAAAATGAAAAGGGGGCGCCGATCCTGCGCCGAATTTTGAAAGTGGGTAGGAAAAAAACGCATTTGAAAAAATATAGTTACTTCCACCAAGAAAAAATGTGTTTATAGGCTTATAAACAGACTGAGCGCATAGGCGACAAAGTGATATATTAAATTACAGACTATTTTGTCTAACCAGCCAGTATTGCTACCTCACACGAAATCGTTCATATAGAAACATGATCAGTGATCACACGCAATGTCGCATTACCGGAATATTGGCCAGGTTTCGAAGCGATCACGGGAATTATGCCCTTTTTTGCTTGTAATATGCCCTTATATTATGCCTTTATATTGCTTCACGAATCACGAGAGCGGCGCAAATTAGATAGTTATGATAATGTAAAGTTGTGTACGCAATTTAGTTGTTTGAACAAGAAACATCATAACTCATCGAGTAATGTGAGTAGTAAGATAATGCTGAAACGCGCGCCCTTTTGGCAGCCAGGCAAGGAAACCTTAAACGGCATGGTGTACCACTGACATCGACTCGCACCGATGTGCAGATGAACTGCTCAACTTTGCAGAATCTTTTCAAAAATCGAAGTGTTCAGTGATTTTTGATGAAGACCGAAAGAGGAAGAGAAAGATTCTGATTTAGACTCCGGTTCTGAATCTGAAACCGAAGACTACGAAGAAGAAACCGACAGCGAGTCAAGCGACGACGGAACTGCTGAAGAACCAAAGGACAAGGATAAACAATCATTTCTAGAAGCTCTGAGAATTTTGTCGAATCCTGATTACCACCTAGTTGATGCATTTCCAACTCTTTGTAAAGTTTACGCGATCGCAGTTGCAATTCCAATCAAAACCCGCACACGTTCGTCTTTGTCTCAAGAAAAACTTGAAGCATTGCTACTTATGACCGGCACTGAACGGAAGATTTTAATGTCTTTGAAAAAGGAGCAGATTATTACCGCCTTGGAGGTCTGACATCAGAATTGTCGAAGGCGCTTATATGAAAATGTTTAGAAATGCTATAGAAATCGACAATGGTTATTGAAACATTAAAGACATTGGAGAACATCGATTGATTGATATGGGCAATACTTGACGTTATCAACATTCGATACAATACGTGAAAAATAGTACTAACTATCAAGTGATAAACTGTATAGTATTTTAAAACTCTTTTTGTATGTTTTGACAAAAAACATGACAGATTCGTATGAATAAAGTGCAAGCACACCGTTTTAGTAAAACATTACAAGTTATTAGTGAGATCGGCGTTTATTATAAATCAGAATATTTCATACAAATATACTCAACGAGTGACTTTATTCCTCCACAATTAATCTAAAATAAAGATTTATAGTAAAACTGATACCATACCAATTTAAGTTTGGCTCTACGGAAATTCTAACCAAATTGCAAATTTCGACTCGTTATAATCTCGTTTCCTGACCATCAGATTTCTGTCAAATCTTCCCCCCAAAGTCCAGGAAATGGCATTTCAGAGACTCTAAATTTAAAAATTTCCGGGGGGCATGCCCCCGGACCCCCCTAGGAACACCTCGCACCTGCGGCGCTCGGCTCGTGCCTTCGGCCCTCGTTTATCAAGCGTCACATTATAGGGGCGCATATTGGTTGATAGCCCAATGGCCCCCCCAGAAAAATAGTACCCAGCACGCCACTGATCCTTACTGAACCTTCAGGAATTAAGAACAGTGTAGAACTGATAAAGCTATCTGGTATAAATGAAGTTAATTTAATTTAGGTTTCCTCCTGTAGTAACATTGGATCAATAAGAGATAATCTTCACTGGACCTTTAGGAAGAAGAGTTTAGAACAGATAGAGCAATCCAGTATAAATAAAGTTAGTTTAGTTTATGTTTCCTTCCGTAGCAACACTGCATCAATAAGATCATCCTTACTGGACGTCTACGAAGAATAGCTCGGAACTGATACAGCTATCCATCAAACACAATAATGCAGTCAATAATTCCTTTTATCTTGTATACTACAGGAGTGAAATGGCTTATCCTAAAAGCGTTGTGGTTTTCTTATCTTTTGCTTTAATCCTGAGCTTTGTGGTGGAGCAATCAAGTGGTCAATACTATCCGCCACGTTGGGGAAAACGGGATGCAGCGAGACCTCTAAGACTAAGTATAAAGAAAAAGTTTACTTAGGTTTCCTCATGTAGTAACACTCGATCAATAAAAGATTATCTTTACTGGACCTATATAGGGCCGGAACACGGGAACAGTATAAAACTGATAGAGCTATCCAGTATAAATAAAGTTAGTTGAGTTTAGGTTTCCTCCTGTAGTAACACTGGACCACAAGGGGATGACGCTTAAAATGACTGTACTGATTTATACTGGATAGTTTTATCAGTTCTAAACCGCTGTTCTTCCTAGAAGTTCAGGAAGGATATCTCCTGTCGATCCAGTGTTACTATAGGAGAAAACCTAAATAGTATATACTGAATAGCTCCATCATTTCTAAACTGTTCTTCATAGAGGTCCAGTTTCTTCCTGTAGCAACACAAACCCTGCATATATGAGAACAGCTTGGAATTGATAGCAGTATACTAATAAAATTTGTTTTGTTTCTGTGGCGATAAAACGTAGAAATATATATTTCATTACAGGAAGATGGCATGGTAAATTAAGTGATATGGAATCGAATTTCTTGCAAATGCGGAAGCGAGCTGATCTGGCTGGAAAGTACTCCAACGAGCGACGAAAAAGTACTCAATAATTTGCCAAGAAAATGAATCAAATAATAGAAAGAGAAACACTTAAAAAAACAATATGGTCTTAATCAGTTCTTGTATGTAATTAATATCATGGTGCTCAACAACCAATTAGTGTTAATTAAAAGATTCTAAACTCATTAAAAGCTTGTTAGCGTTTAGGAAATAAAGTCAATTATACTAATAGTTCTCAAAAATATTATTAAAGACTGTCACTTTAACTTAAAGAAATACAATGAACTATAACGAAAACATTTTAGAAAATTCTATAATGCTTTATTAAAATGCCGTATTCTTAATTCGAAAAAACTAGGAAAATTCAGCTTGCGGGGAGTGGTTTTGCCAAGTTACCTTGGCCTATTTTAGCCTAGTATATACACGCGTACATTTATTCCAGGGACGAAACTTGAGGGGGGTGTTCGGGTGTGGGGGGGTGTGACCCCCCCCCCCAAAGCTGAATTGGCAGGGCCCAAAGCTGAATTGGCAGGGCAATGAAAGATTTTAAATGATAGAATGTAGAGTTATTAAGTAGCTTCCAGAGGGAATTGAATAGAATTTATAGACCTAAATTTTACAGATATTGGTGAAAAATAAGGGTTTCATCATGAATGTTTTAACAGGAATTTGTCCGAAAAAATTTTTTTGACCGTTAATTTAACTGGTTTATGTCCGGAAAAATTTTTTCGCCCCAAATCGGGGAGCATGCCATCCACCCCCCCTCCCCACCAACTTTTTGGGAGAAATAGTACCAGTTTTTGCTGCGGGCATCATCCGCTTTCGCAGGGCAATTCTAATCCCCCTAATTAAAAGGGGCTAGTTTCGCCCCTGTCCCCATACACTTTCTGCCAGATCTGTCGTCCATACTTGACGTAATATTTCAAATCCGACTATGAGGACTAGACTAGATTTCAAGTCCCCGCAATTTGATCAAGTCCAAGGCATGTGAGCAAAATAAAGCATTGCGGTAATGCGGTTGGCTAATTCACTCATGAATCATCCACTAGACAGAGTCCTGAGGGAGTGGGTGGTGGGGGTGGAGGGCATGCTCCCCGTTTTTGAAATGAAAAATCTCTGAAATGGCATTTTCTCCGTTCTTTGGAAGATTTCAAATGACTACCTCAACGATTGAAACTGATCCTAACCATCCACAACAACTGTTACCAGGCATGACCGCTATCAAAAACCAGCTCGTCTGCATTTATAGTAGGTTGTTGGACTGTTCTTAATTTTTAAATTATCTTTACGATTTGATAGAGGGTCCATATCCAAACAGCTCGATTTTTTCCGAATGAATGCCGACTCGTTCATGAGTGCCTGTGTGTGTGTGGGGGGGAGGGGTTCACCCCCACACTCCCTCTAGCGCCACCCCTGAGTGCGCTCCAAATATTTCTGAGCAAAGTTTTGAACGTAATGCCAGTTGAGAGCGCGCTTGCTTCCAAAAACATATTGAGCAACATATTTAAACGAAGGCAGAAATTTGCCGCGATCAAAATTAATTTGAAATATTGCTTAGTGCAAATATATAAACTGAAAAGTTCTGCGCGAATGAATCCATCATTGAGATATTTGGTGCCTAAACTATTGGCCTCAGGAATCACTAAGAAAGATGCGGACATGCGATTCCCGTTGCAGCGCTCAAACTTTGCGGTGAAATTTTGCCGAGTTTCGAAGAATATAACTGCATGTACACCAAGGACATGATTTTTTTTACCAGATATTTCTTCTCGGAACAAAATGAATAATTGGAAAAGTCACCTTGGAAAACTGGAGGAGGGGTCCGTGTCACCTTATTTCCTCTTTGTGCGTGATCACGTGATGCTGGTGGGAGAAAATCCCATTGTGATTTTGATAGGAAATTTTGCGTTCTGCAGATAATTCTAGGTTCCATGAGAAGCCATGCCATTTCTCGCACTCTCAAAATTGCATTACTTGGCTATACAGAATAAGTTTGAGAAGAAATATTCATATGCTAAGCCGGTAAACGGTAATGGGTTCAAGGATACCGGATTTCGGCATTTGTGGCTATAATGGATAGCGGATTTCGGCATACTTTATATTCCCACTGCGGTTTGTGGCCATACGTGCACTGTAAAGAATACCGCCGGATTACGGTATTCCTTATACGCCGGCCACAGCGGTTTGCGCATGCATGGCTATAAAGGATACCGCGGATTTTGCCAAGGCGGTTTCCGGCTATAAAGGAAACAGGATTTCGGCAAACTTATAGCCACGGCGGTTTGTGGCTCTAAGGGATACAGGATTTCGGTATTCCTTAATTATATAGCCATGGCGGTTTGTTCCTGTAGATAACACAGGATTTCATGCTCATGAGCACGCATATATATATATATATATATATATATATATATATATATATATATATATATATATATATATATATATATATATATATATATATATATATATATATATATATATATAGATATATATAGATAGATATATAGATAGATATATATATATATATCCGTCGCCATGTTGGATGACATGCATTGACAAAGGATTTGCTTGTTTGCAATACAAATTTCATCCAAGAAGGCGAAAATTTCTTTGTCCTTTGAATCTCATGTTTTAAGGTTTAGAGTTTAAGGTTTGCAAAGGAGAAGCTTTTTTGAATTGGTTCTATAACCATTGAAGTGCTTGAACCTTCCAACTTAAAGCACATACAGTCATTATATACAGCTCAGTGGCTCTATTCTGATGATGACGTAGCAAACTTAGACTAGTGAAAAACCATGAGATTTTAAAAATATTCCATCTACAGGCCGTTAAAATTATTGTTTTTTATAAATACACGATTATTCGATATTTAAATTTTTGACATATTGGAATATCGTTATTTGTTGGTATTTTGGTATCAGTTTATGTTTGTATAAGTTCATTTCGCTTGTCAAAATAATTAGCCGATTGCAAATAGTGCCATGCACTGCAGTAGCTACTAAAAAACAAAAACTAAAATCATATATTGTTTATAGTAAACATCTTTTAGTGAATAAACTAGCAAAACATTTCTCTTATCATATCGTGGCTGTTTGGCATAATTTGAAAACAGAAAATGTTGCTTTAAATCAGACTTCAATATTCGAAATAAAATGAATTAATTATCCACGACAACGGTCAACGTGGTTGTCGCTTATATATCATATATAAGCGATGTATGATATATAAGTGCCCTGGTTTGATACTTCAATTGAATGTCACTTTGTCAGCTTCTTGACATGTATTTCTCGCTTTTATATTTATTTGGTTAAATATTTTCGCTTGAGTGAGAAATGTATTTTATTAAATTAAAGGATTCATCGGATCGGAATTCTTCATTATCAAAACTCGGATTGGATTCGGATTAGACAATTTCGGATTCGATTGGATTTTAAACATTAGCCAATAGACTGACCTCAGTTCCCCTATAACCTTTTGAGTGAAATTTTGATCTCAACAAGTCTGGACAAATATTTCATCACAGCTTGAAAGAGCATCACAAAATTAGTAATATTCCGACGTTTCGTTGCGAAATGTTGTAATATAGCCTTTCGAAGTTTGCCGTTTTTCAGTCATTTTGTATTACAAATGGGAAATTGATAATCAGTTTGATCATTTGATCAGATCTGTCTATAATCTTATATAGAGTTAGTAAATATAAATTCTGAATATACTTTCAGAATTCTGAGATTACTAACTCTAAGATTATAGACAGATCTGATCATTGGTCCTTATGTACTATTTAAGGAAGCATTTGCCATTAGACAACTTAAACCTGAACTTAGTGTGTGCCTAGAGTTTGCTTATCGTATAAAGCATACGTCCGATACGCACAAAATTTTTGAACATGCTTAAAAAAATTTTTCTGCCTCGCCGTATGCCAGCGTATGCCACCGTATGCGACCGTACTTGAAACGTATACAACCTATGCCTAACGTACCCCTAGCGTATGTCAGCGTATACCAGCGTATGAGTGATATTTTTCATACGCTGGCATACGCTAGTACGATACGCAATAAGTGCCTTAATGTAACCTAGCATCATTCCTGATGATGACTAGGAGTTATACTGATTATTTTCGGAGTTATACCGTTGTTTGTACTATTTACAACATGAGCGGCCGTGTTGTATCGGATATACGAGTTTGTACAACACGGACGCGAATGTTGTAAATGGCTTAAAAAACGACTCATCTTATGAGTTCATTGTCAAAGTAATTTTAAAAATAAACGTTGTCTAAGCCGCGAGAAAATCCAAAAGTTAAAGTTTATGTACTAAATCAGCATGAATCTGTATCACATATACAGACTCCTTCACGCCCATGATTTCTTTCTCATGAGTTTTTTAAGTACTATTTTATCAACCTCTCTATTATATTAGCTATTCTCACTGGGAGTTTTCCCTCACAATACCATAACTTTGAATATTTATGCATGAGATGATCAGTTAGTCTTCCATATACACCACGTGATTGTCAGACAGTATAAAAGTAGCACAAAATCGGTATCTTTTGAGCATTTGCGGATTTGCCACCGAAAAGGAAGGACGGCGCTGGAATTTTTTGGTCATCCAAGTCACACGTGTCGCAGGCGAGCCAGGCCTTGGGAATTTAACGAAATGCCTTGCTTACACAGAAGAATGATAACGCTCACCAAACAATTTGACTGGCCATGGTATGTCGAGCATGATGTGAATTAATCGTCCTCCTCAACCGGCTGTACTTGCATGGAATCAGATATCGGTTTGTTGTCTACCGAATTTAAGTGGGTCGTCCCCGCGAGAGTTTCGAGCCTATTCAGTTTTTCTTTGATATTACGTCCGACTTTTTGCAACGGCATTTATATTACACATCGCCTTGCGACCACCGCAAATTTTGCCAGCAGATAAGGCTCTATAATAGTCTAATTGCCTGTACTTAGGATTACTTGTTGAGTTTCACTGGCACTTATAGTTGTATTTGCTCGTTCGTTTCTATTTAAACGGATCCGTACTATTAATACGGCATTTTAGCGAGTTCAAATGCACAAAAGCCTAACGTTGTCCATGGCATATCTTCTGTTCTCTCGCGGGGTTTCAGCGTTTCCTAATGTGCGGTCTGGCAAGGTGGGTGCACTATAATCAAAACCCTACACATGTCTACGACGTGTTCTTGCAGATGCGTTCTGGAAACGTGTGCTCCCGGCGTGTGACTCATGGGTATATGCGTTTAAATGTATTAGCTTAAGCTTTTCATGGGTCCATATTACGCGTGTGTTCATAGTTGTTTTGCCGGGATGCCACGCCGTAGTGTGTTCGTAATAAATAGTGACTTATACTAGTGACTAACACCCTGAGTTGGGTGGTGGGCAAAGGCTTGCAAGCTTTGTTTATTTGGTGTATTGTCCGAGTGCAAGACTGGGCTAAACATTTGCAGCTTGTCATGACTACAAGTACTGGCGAATTACACACAACCTCTGGCAAAAGGCTGTCAAAGTGTCTTCTTAGTGCAGGCGAAATTCGCCGTTCGCTGGCCTAAAACAAGATTGTGAATGTAACTAAGCATTAGAATTATGTATGAGAGTTATTCACTCGGGTAGATAATTCTAAAGCTTAGTTACCTTTGTTCTATTATATGCTTTTGTATACTATAGAACAATGATAATTATAGGCATGTGAGCTATCTAAAGTTGGGATTTGGGTATAAAACAAAATTTTCCAAATTATGCTGTATTCAACGGAGGGAATAAGGTTTACTTGATTGGAAACTTTACAAAATCAATTACAAACATAATTTTTATTTTTTCAGACTGTGGTCTAAAGTGCCAGCGCAAAATTTTCCAAAGAACTTCTTTGCTCCCAGAGATGCAAGACGTTATGTCGAGAAAAGCTATTTCGCTTTTGCAAAACGACGACTTTTCCACCAAGTAAAGCAGCTTTTATCGCAAAGCGAAGGCCACAAGGTTCACATCCAATTATTAACACGTTATATTCTTAGCACAGGGATTCTTAGTTTTGTCTCGGGTTTTATAGGTCAGAAGCTTGTCCAGTTTGTTCCATAAACTGGTTTGACATTTCCAACTCGTGAGAAGTTCTTTTCAAAAGTCTGAAAACATTTTGGTACTACATTACTACAATATTTCGAATATTAGCCGATAACATTTCCGTTTGATGTTTCATGTGATTAGCTTTCTGATAACTATAAAGCCCTGTTTAAACGGTCCAACATTGTTGGGCCAACATCATCCAACATTGTTGAAATAATGGCCCAAACGGTTTTTTCAAATATTTTTGTCAAGACTAGGTTTAGAGTTTGAGTAAAGCTTATCTAACCAAAAAGATTTGAAAGAGAAGCAATCATATCTATATTATAGTAACATTGTTGGATGATATTGGTCCAACAATGTATGTTGGACCAACAAACGAACGTTTAAAACAGGCCTTAAGCTTGCTTCTTATGTGTATTTTAGTGTATTAGTCTATTCACCATCAGTGCTCTCACTTTGCTGAGTAAAATTGTTTGGTGTTAGACACCATAAAATAAAAATAAGGCACAGGCACAATTTAATAAGTTCACCCATTGAGCTGCAGAGCTTCCGCATTGGCGAGTAAAATCATCTGGCGTTAGACAAGTAAAAAAAGTAGGGCACACTGGGGCGCGTTGCGGCTCAATGGGTTAACTAGAGACATTGTCAGATTTTTTGGTTAACCCATTAAGCTGCAGAGCTTCCCCATTTGACAAGTAAAATCGTCTGGCGGTAGACAAGTAAAAAAAAAATAAGTAGGGAGCACTGGGCCGCATTGCTGTTCAAAGGGTTGAGCTGCAACATGCCCAAATCTGCCGACTTTATTATAATTTCACTCTGTCTAAATTCTAAAACCAGAGGATTTTACTCTTAAAGAGCCTTGAACATTAATGGGCTAATTCAATGTACAGTACATGAAGACTTTGAATCCTGGTATCTGCTGTCAGGGACTTGAATTTCAGACCTTTTATATAAGACTTTATTTCTACAGGTCAACTCGGTTGGATACCAGCTGGACTTGGATACAACTACGACACATGCAATGTGGTGGCAATGCTAAAGTTGTGAGTCTCAACAATATACAAATTTTGCTAATATTGTTTGCTAACAATGGCGGTTTTGTTTTTAAAAACTGAAAATTTTGTCTTGGCCCGACATTTGTCCTTCCGACAGGGACCGCGGAGACGGGGGTGCTGGGGGTTTAGCCCCCCCCTCCACTTTTTTTGACAGCCAAAATTATTAAAATAGAAATCTAAATGAAACTTTCTAAATTAATTAAACCTCACCCTTTAGCCCCCCCACTCTCTAATACGCTCCGCGGGCCCTGTCCGAGCAAAATAACTATTTGCAGGTCTGCTATTTTTGAGCCCTATGTAGTCTATGTACATGCAATGGTACAATATTTTCCCAAATGCTCCTTTCCTAAAAAGGTTCTCATAGACGCAGGTAACCCTGCTCACGATCATGCTCGCACCCCAGAGAAAACAGATGTTGATTTCTTTCATGAGATTACTACATCAGTTGCATCAATCACGGCACTGCACCGCATGTAGCCTGCGTGCAGGCCCAAGGGAACTGATAGTGGGCCTGCAACCATCGCCCGGTATTTTGTAAAACGCCCCCTTTCATAACACGCCCCATTCGCGCGTCAATTGTCAAAAAAGAACCAATGACAGCACCTAAATATTAACAAACAAACTCGAATTAAAATTTGCGGGGTTTTCTCTGCTTATTCAGAACACTAATAAACAATGTATAAATGGCAACCTCGTCCCCAGGGCCTTTTCAGGAAGGAGGCGAAGGGCAGCTTCGCCTCCTTCCTCAATAGGCCCTGGGGACGAGGTTGTGTAAATGGCTGCGTTTTAACTCCAAAAAAACAAGCAACGCAGTCGGTAATTGCCAAATTTGCAAGTGCTCATTTTCAACTAAAATCGGAACAGGCAAATTAGGACGAATTTCAACAGAAAACCAGTCTCAAACTTCAAATCATGAGGGAAGTCGTGCGACCACATTAGGATTTATATTATGTGTGCTCAGATCGTGTGTGCAATTCTTGTTGGCGGCGGAAAGTACGAAATTTATTTCATTTATTTCATTTGGTAAAGAACTCTACAAAAGAAGAGAGCGTTCCGAGTCCAGATCGTTTCGTTTCAAACGGCAATTTAATACTGCCTTCTGTTTCGCTCTCTCAGCGAAGCCTTGTAAATCGCACAGTGTTTCGAATAGGCTTACAGTCCTTACATGCAACTGCATCTCAACATCAACCAAAAAATAATTTTCTTGAGGAAGTGAGAACACATAACGTATCAACTGAAGTCTGTTTGAAATTAATAAAACTCAAGTAAAGGTTACTATAGTTTACCCCAGTCGTAATTTGCTATTCCAACACCTCACGACAAGCAATTCCCATTGGCATAACGGCAAAAACATGTCTTCCTTCAACTAAACAATAAACAGTCTGTTCTTGTTCCATTTGTAATCGAAAAAAGTGATCAATTTTCAAATTTTAAGCTTATCGAGAGTTTGTCTATGCCTTTGTGATGAATCACTGTTCCCTTGGGCCTGCACGCTAGGTTAATTAATTACCGATCGCCTCAGCTAGCCAATGGGAATTTAGCCGGCGGTTCGGCCGGCGAAAATCGAAAACATGGGGTGATGGTTGCAGGCCCACTATCAGTTCCCTTGGGCCTGCACGCAGGCTACACCGCATGGGAAACATGCACCCCGCCTTATCGCTTCCTTGAGGTCTTGAAAGAAGCCCAGATTAAAAAATAAAAGCTACTCCCCCTGGTCATAGGTGCACGGGACGGGGGGCAGCTGCCCCCCAACAAGATTACAAAGTCGAAAAGTCGGGCAAATGTTCAACAAAAGTCTGGCAAAAAGTAGTCAAAACAAGAAAATCTCTCTTAATAATAACCGCAGTTTGTTCGGCAAACAAAGCCAGTTGAGCAACATTCACTTCACAGTCGGGCCAAAAATAAATTGTTTCGGAAAAAAAATTTTTCGGCACTTGTCGGGCACAATCTGAAAAAGTCGGGCAAATTTCTTTCTGCCCCCCTAATTCTTTCCTTCCCGTACGCCTATGTTATCGTGGACATTGTATTGCACATATGTAGAAGTATTGCATATTTTTCTCTCATTGTTTCTAAAGCGCTTTCGTAATTCTAGTGTGCACTCTTTTGAAGCAGCCAATGACAGGAAATTTTAAAAGATATGAAGACCAAATAACTCAAACTGCTAAGGGCTTCTAATCCGATAGCGCTTAAAATCGCGCGTTGTGGAATCGTGTCCGATGTGTCTCGCCTTTAATTATAAGACGTCTTGAATCTCTTGTGTGTATAATCCTAGATTTTATGTGTTTTTTTGCCTAACCAACCTGCAATAGCAGTATGTTGATTTAATTACGCAGTCGTGATATTACACAATGGTTAAATGAGATAGTTATTGGTTGTTTGGCGAAAAACAATACACATGTGATGATGAATGGACCATTTCTTGCATAAACCAAGATATACTTGGTTCAAGTTCGTCTCTCAAGGGGATGAAAATAGCGATGCACGCGAGCGGTTAAAAAAGGCGCGAAAATATGAGAGAAAAGTAGGGAGAGACGGACTTGGATACCTTGCATGCGCGCCAAGTTTTACCGTCGGATTTTTCCTACGGAGGCGTGGCTTGCGAGTTGAGAACAACAACAAATTTCCGCGCCAATTTTTGCAAGTAACATTCGAAATGTTGCAAATGTCCCGAGTCCGTCTCTCGCTACTTTTCTCCTGAGACGCACTTGAACCAAGTGTAAAACCAAGACAAGAACATGGAGAAGGAGTTCTATTATGTCTGCATCGAGTTTCCAGACCTTATTATTCATTGACTACCATGAGATAACCAATGATTTTTCCTCTATTTATCTGTGGCGTAAGGTTTATCGCTTATCTAAATTTTAGATTAGCAATAAACCTTACGCCACGAATTTCATGCACATTTTACAAAGTCTTCTTGCACTCACTGAAGAAGACAAGTTAGTAGACGTAGTTTGGGAAACAATTGAGAAGTATGTGAAACGATGGTCGAACATGAAGAGACAAGAACAGGGAAGATTCTCATTAAGTTCTGAACTGGAGCTACTTAAATATAAATATTTAAGTGCTGCAGTTCAGAATTCAATAAGAATCAAATATTTCAAAACAATCGAAGGAAGAAAGTAATATGATGAAAATATCTTCAACTCCTATACCAGCCATTCCACCCCCAGGATTGAATTCAACACCTGTTACACCAGTCCCCCAAGCAGTTCCCCCTCCACCACCACCACCTCTAAGGGGATCATTCTTGTTGCCAAATCCTGGAAGTCCCCCTCCCCCTTTACCTGGCCCTACCATTTCTCCACCAGCCTTCCCGCCCCCCATTCCATGGTTCTGCAGGACCACTACCTCCGCCACCACCTCCTTTGCCTCTGGCTCAGCAATTCCTCCACCTCCACACTTGTCTGGCTCAGCAATTCCACTCCCACCCCCGTTGCCTGGATCTGCAGGCCCACCCCTCCCCCACCGTTACCTGGATCAGCAGGACCACGTATCCCTGATTATGTTGGTACACCAAATATATTTGGAGGAATTTTAACCCACCGGAATTTCCTCATCTTACTTTTCGCCTTAGTTGACGGAATTACGGATGTATATGGAGACACCGACATCGCAGTGTTGAATGATGCTGAAAAAAAGGGAGGCGAATAGGTGAACCAATCGGTGTACCAATCCAGATACAGTTTTGGTTTCTGGATACTATTTTTGGTAGTCAGAAATAAAAATTGCATCTGGATTCGAATGTGGAATTTCCCGCCATTACAGGCGAACTTTGAACTTGAAGAAGAACTGTTTAAACAAGTGGAAAAGAAACAGAAGACAGAAACTGAGGTTGGGAAAACAATCCTTTCTGTTTGCTAGACTAACGTTATATTCAATCTTTCAACGCGCATGTTGTGAATATTCACCACTGAGCTTTGCATATACAAAGGGGGGGGGGGGAGGTCGCCAAAATAAATTGTTCCGGAAAAAAATATTTTCGGCACTTGTCGGGCACAATCCGAAAAAGTCGGGCAAATTTCTTTCTGCCCCCCTAATTTTTTCCTTCCCGTACGCCTATGCCACTGGCACAGTTTAATGATATGATATAATATCATTAAACTGTGCCACTGGTTTCCTCTACCCTTGCGTCGGCCTTCGTGTTGCGGTTTATAAAGTTCTTTGTAATGGCGATCGCGATCTTTTTCGCGATTGTTTTCTTATCTTTTGTTTAATCCTGAGTTTTGTGGTGGAACAATCGAGTGGTCAACATCTACGTTGGGGAAAACGGAATGAAATGGAAACAGATGATCAAGACTTGATCAATAAAGGTGATGTACCTTTGCACCAGACTGCAGAGTCTGGCAAGTGCACACTTGAGATTTTTTTTGGCCAATGGTATTGCACACTCAACACACATTTTAAATGTTTTCCAGATTTGTAAGGCATTAAAATAAGGACTTCTAAGACAAGTGTAATATAACAACCATCTGAAAATCGGGAACGCTGATTCATGGGCGCTGAAAAGAAAAATGTACATTAAAGTTTCGAATTTCTATCTACAGCAGAGTTTTGCGATCATCCGGTTGTCATGACTGATAACCGTATAGCATGTAAGCATGGGCACACGAGAACTTTCAATTGGTCAGATTAATTCCACGAGGCGCCACCATGGTTGGCGCCACGCGAAAAAATTTTGAAATTTGGAGTCTCTACATTGTCGGAAATGGCATTTTCGAGTGCACACTTTTCCATTTACAACTCAATTACAAGGACATGCACATTTTCCTTTTACAAAGATGTTATTTTGTGTTATAATATTAAACTTTTAACTTCGTAATAAACAATCATTGTTTAAATATCATTAGAATTGTAGCTATTTACAAGTGCACACTTGACTACGTTAACATAGGATTGCACACTTGTCACTTGCATGCACACCTGAATTTTTGTTCTGCACACCCAAGATCTCGTCGAAAACTGCCGTACTCTGCAGTCTGGCCGGGCTTTGCATAATATAAATATCCTTTATAGCTCTAAGCTTCGAGTACAAATAAAGTTAAGTTTAGGTTTCCTCCTGTATAACCATGGATAATAAAATACATTATATATACATATAAAGTTATTTTACAATCCATGGTATAAACACTGGATCGATAAGAGATAATCCTTACTGGACCTATAAGTATAAAAAAAAGTTAGTTTACTTTAGGTTTCCTTCTGTTGTAACACTCGATCAATATAAGATCATCTTTACTGGACCTATAGGGTCGGAACAGTATAAAACTTATAGAGCTATACAGTATAAGTAAAGTTAGTTTAGTTTATTAGGTTACTTCCTGTAGTAACACTGGACCACAAGGAGATGACGCTTAAAGTAACTGTACTGATTTATACTGCATGGATAGTTCTATCAGTTCTAAACCGCTGTTCTTCCTAGAAGTTCAGGAAGGATCCATCTCCTGTCGATCCAGTGTTACTACAGGAGAAAACCTAAGCTAAACTAACTTAATTTATACTGAATAGCTCCATTTCTAAACCGTTCTTCATAGAGGTCCAGTTTCCTCGTGTAGCAACATAAACCCTGCATATATGAGAACAGCTTGGAATTGATAGCAGTATACTAATAAAATTTGTTTTGTTTCTGTGGCGATATATATATATTTCATTACAGGAAGATGGGCTGGTGAATTGAGTGTATGGAATCGAATTTCTTACTAATGTGGTGCTTATCTGGCTGGAAAGTAATTTCTTTCTTTTCTGCTATAGGATTAATCGGACATTGTATTGATAGACGTCGTCCTGACGTTGCCGTCTAACATGTGTAAACTTCCTAGTAATTTGGGTATGGCTAATACTGTTTTGCTCTACTGAGGCTCCGGCTATTAATTGATGAGCTAAGCAAGTATGCAAAGAATGGAAGGTCAAAGCTTCAAGGGTGCTGTGAGTTGGGTGGTGGGCAGAGGCTTGCAAGCTTTGTTTATTTGGTATATATTGTCCGAGTGCAAGATTGGGCTAAAAATTTGCAGCTTGTCATGACTACAAGTACTGGCGAATTACACACAACCTCTGGCAAATTGCTGTCAAATGTCTTCTTAGTGCAGGCAAAATTCGCCGTTCGCTGGCCTAAAACAACATGGTGAAAGTATGACTGTATGAGAGTTATTCACTCAGGTAGATAATTCTAAAGCTTAGTTACCTTTGTTCTATTATATGCTTTTGTATACTAGAACAATAATAATCAGGCATGTGAGATATCTAAAGTTGGGATTTGGGTATAAAACAAAATTTTCCAAATTTTGCTGTATTCCACGGAGGGAACAAGGTTTACTTGATTGGAAACTGAACAAAATCAATTACAAACATAATTTTTATTTTTTTCAGACTATGGTCTAGAGTGCTAGCGCAGAATTTTCCAAAGAATTTCTATGCTCCCAGAGATGCAAGAAAAGCTATTTCGCTTTTGCAAAACGACGACTTTTCCACCAAGTAAAGCAGCTTCTATCGCATAGCGAAGGCCACAAGGAATTATTAAGACGTTATTCTTAGCACAGGGCTTCTTTTTGTCTGTGGTTTTATAGGTCAGAAGCTTGTCCAGTTTGTTCCATAAAGTTTGACATTTCCAACTCGTGAGACGTTCTTTCAATAAAGTCCGAAAACATTTTGGTGGTTGTTTGTGTCTAAGTTGACACTCGCACACAGGTTTGAAAAAACGTCTAAAGTTTCTAAAAAATTCGAAGCCGCTATGAAAGAGTCGAATAAAGCTTAGCATCAGGGTTTAATTTAGCTTCGTCAGTCGCTTTAGTGTCCATAAAATTACCATTTCAGCCATACTTTTGCAATTCCAGCCCTCAGACAATTGTCAACTAGACATGGTCAACATCTACGTTGAGGAAAACGGAATGAAATGGAAACAGATCAATAAAGGTGCATGATGTACCTAATTGCATAATCTAAATATCCTTTATAGCTCTAAGCTTCGAGCACAAATAAAGTTAGTTTAGGCGGTTTCCTCATGTATAACACTGGTCGATAAGAGATGAATCTTACTGGACCCCTAGGAAGAACAGTTTAGAACTGATAGAGGTATCCTGCATAAATAAAGTTAGTTTAATTTAGGTTTCCACCTGTACTAACACTGAATCAATAAAAGGTTATCCTTACTGAACCTCTGGGAAGAACAGTTTAGAACTAATTTAGATTTCCTCCTGTAGTAGTAACATTGGATGAACAAAAAATAATCTTCACTGGACCTCTACGGAGAACAGTTCAGAACTGATAGAGCAATCCAGTATAAATAAAGCTAGTTTAGTTTATGTTTCCTCCCGTATAGTACTCTACGGAGAGCAGCTCGGAACTGATACAGCTATATCCATCAAACACAGTGCAGTCAATAATTCCTTTTATCTTGTGTATTACAGGAGTGAAATGGCTTATCCTAAAAGCATTGTGGTTTTCTTATCTTTTGCTTTAATCCTGAGTTTTGTGGTGGAGCAATCAAGTGGTCAACATCTACGTTGGGAAAACGGGATGAAATGGAAACAGATGATCAAGACTTGATCTATAAAAGTGATGTACCTTTGCGTAATCTAAATATCCTTTATAGCTCTAAGGTATATAAAAAAAGTTAGTTCACTTTAGGTTTCCTCATGTAGTAACACTCGATCAATAAAAGATTATCTTTACTGGACCTATTGGGTCGGAACAGTATAAAACTGATAGAGCTATCCAGTATAAATAAAGTTAGTTGAGTTTAGGTTTCTTTCTGTAGTAATTGATAGTAACACTGGACCACAAGGGGATGATGGTTAAAGTAACTGTACTGATTTATACTGGATAGTTCTATCAGTTCTAAACCGCTGTACGTCCTAGAAGTTCAGGGATCATCTCCTGTCGATCCAGTGTTACTACAGGAGAAAACCCAAACTAAACTAACTTAATTTACACTGAATAGCTCCATCAGTTCTAAACTGTTCTTCATATAGAGGTCCAGTTTCTTCCTGTAGCAACATAAACCCTGCATATGAGAACAGCTTGGAATTGATGGTAGTATAAATAAATATTGTTTTGTTTCTGTGGCGATAAAACGCAGAAATGTATATTTCATTACAGGAAGATGTGCTGGTGAATTAAGTGATATGGAAACGAATTTCTTGCAAATGTGGAAGCGAGCTTATCTGGCTGGAAAGTACTCCAACAAGCGACGAAAAAGTATTCAATAATTTGCCAAGAAACAATGAAATAATAGAAAGAGAAACACTTAAAACAACGATGAGGTCTTAGTCTCAGTTCTTGTATGTGAATTAATATCATGGGCCTCAACAACCAATTAGTGTTAATTAAAAGGCGTTAAAAAAACTCATTAAAAGCTTGTTAGCGTTTAGGAAATAAAGTCAATTATACTAATAGTTCTCAAAAACATTATTGAAGGCTGTCACTTTAATTAAAGAAATACAATGAACTATATTTCCGGAAGGAGAAGGCATTAGACTAGTTCTACTATCTGACCAAGTTTGAACGAAAAATGTTGAAAACTCGCAGAGTTATTTAATAAAATACATTTCGCTGCAATAAGAAAAACATTGAAAATGTAATATTCAAAATCAATTTTCTCCCGAAAAATTTTACGGTAATTACTGATTTTCAAACGAGTTGTGCTCCTGCGGGTTTTAACCAATTTTTTTCAAATTTTCACAGGACATAGCTAAATACGTCGGTTTCAAAATTGTGTTCGCCTTTTTTAAAATTTTGGATATTTTAAAAATAAAGAGCAATTCACTCGAACAATTCAGAAATATATTGCAGTCGTCAAAGAAATCGCCATATCAGCGGAATGACGAAATAAACAAAAATTTCCGAACACAATTTTTTAGAACAACTATTTTACTGTATAAGAATGATATTTTCATAAATATAACTTAAAACCAGCAGGAGCACAACTCAAAATAAAGCGTAAAGGTACCGCGACTTAAGATTTTCCTGAATAATTCTTACATTATTTTATTGTTTGTTAATTTTACAATTTATCATATTTTGCATGCACTGGAGAACATTTGGTGAAAATTTGATGAAAATCGGACTGATATTGAGCGCGCAGTAGCGATTTTCCGCAAAACGCCAAAAAAAATGGTGTCCTGTAACCTTAATCCAGTCGTAGGACTGGATCAATATACTTGACTAGTGTGCATGCATTCTCGTCCCCAGAGCCATTTTCACTCGGTCACTCGTTGAAAATTAGGCTCTGGGATAGACGACTAAAGGAAGAGATCTGATTGGCTTCTCAGTGAACTGCTATTTCGCAGAAGTTGAGCAGTTTTCGCTGGGCAAAATTATTCTATCAACATATGTCAACACAAATACTTCGTTTCTTCTTAATACTTCACTGTGAAAATTCTTACGGGTGCTAAAGTGTCCCAATTCAAGAGCATGCGCTTTAGAAACTACTGCAAGTTTCCTTGCACTTCCGGTTCCGTGTGTCCCAGGGCCTAGGGAGGACGCACGCGGCCGAGAGGCCCTGGGGACAAGGATGGTATGCATGCAGTATTATCGTGTGAGCAAAATAAAGCATTACGGTAATGCGGTTGGCTAATTCACTCATGAATTATTAATGATTTGAGATTAGTTTTTAACTTGACAGAGTTCTAGGGGGGGGGGGGGCGGGGCATGCTCCCGTCATTTTGAAATCTAAAATTTCTGAAATGGCATTTCTTCCGTTCTGGGGAAGATTTGAAAGGACTACCTCAACGATTGAAACTGATCCTAACCATCCACAACAACTGTTTCCAGGCATGACCGCTGTCAAAAACCAACTCGTCTGCATTTATAGTAGGCTGTTGGACTGTTCCGTAATTTTTAAATTCACCGCTACGATTCGACAGAGCACATTTGACTGTATTAAGTTTTATCAAAGTTTGCTTTTCAATTCAGATAATTCAATTCGATACTAGTCGGGCATATCCAAACAGCTCGATTTTTTCCAAATTAATGCAACAAGTTTCCGACTCTTTCACGAGTGTCTGAGGGGGGGGGGGGGTTCACCCCCACACTCGCTGTAGCGCCACCTCTGAGTGCGCTCCAAATGTTTCTGAGCAAAGTTTCGAACACAAAGCTAATTGAGAGCGCGCTTGCTTCCAAAACTCAACAGACATCAGGGCCGTAGCTAGCATGCATAGTTGGGGGGGGGGGGGGG